TATAAAACCTTGAGATCATTTTTGGTTTAAAAAAGAAATAAAGGTAACTTTATCAAATTATTTATTTTCAAATTCAACAAAAGCTTTTCCAATTCCTTTTAAATAACCATTTTTCTTCTTCTAACAAATCATACTATCAATTTTTTCAATTACTTTTTTAAAATCTTTAAGTACAAAATTGAATTCATAATCATCATCATTCGACAGTATTATAAATAACAATGACATTACTATCTTTCATTTAATTATTCTTATTATATTTCAAAAGTAGATTACTTTCCAAATTTAAAATAAAAACAAATAATTTTTAGATTTAGGAACTTCTTTTTAACCTTTAATTTGTGGACTAATTTTATATTCTTTAACTATTTTAAATTAATTGGTTTTCTTTAATATCAATGGTTTTAATTTATAAAGCTGTTTTTGTTTCTTCAATACTTCAAAACTACAAAAAATATATTTAGTCTGGTTACAATAATAGAATTTCAAAGATCTCATATAAGTCCATAAGAATCCATTTATTATCTTATATAATTATGAAAATGATCCTTATCTATATGATCTTACTGATTCTCTAATAATATTTAAAATCTAATTATATTTATAAATTAAATGAGGATAGTTTATTTTGTAAATATTATTGTACTTTACATGTACCAATTTCTCTCATCTTAAACGAAGTTAATTGTGATTAAACTTAAGTTTATTTGAAGTGATTCATATGATTTCACTTTTTTGAATATTGGAGTTTCCTAATTTTCTGATCTTAGTCTATTTCTTTATTTTATCATCTAATCATATACTTATATTTATATATATATATATCTGTTATTGTTATTCTAAATCACTTCTATGAAAATCATCAATCTTCTTGGTTAAATTCTTTTTATTATCCTTTATTATTAATATAAATAGTTTAAGATCATTTTTAATCACAATATATTTTATCATTACTATTCTAATAAGAACATCATCTCTTATACTGATATTGATTGTTATTACTTTTTTTAAAAAGATTAACTTTTATAAATATATTATTTTATGTATGTCTCTAATAAAATAGAACTAAATCACTTTACTATTGATGCCAATATTCATCATCCAGATATGTTATCAAAGGTCAATTATATTAATAGCAACATTCTTGCCAGAAATCCAATATAAAAGTATTCAAAATTCTTATTTAAAACAAGACTTGAAGATTAAAAACTCTTTTCTGATCCTACAATTCTTGGCAGATATAAGAATTATAGAGGAGCCTCTTCAGAAATTGCTAAATATATCAAGAATCTTGATCCTATTGTTAGAGCAAAATTTGTTATTGAAAAATCACCAAATAATGTAATTTTTCATCACTCTACCTCCCGCAAATCTAAAGCCTAAGAAAATCTTAAATAAATGATTGATAAAATGAACAATTTTCAAAAAGATGATACTGGCAAAAAATATTTCAATTAACATAGAAGAAGTTGCAGTCCTAGAGTAAAGTTACCTGCTGTCTCAAAATATTACAGAAACCCTCCAAAAATCCAAATCTAACCATATGAATCCAAAACTATTGATGTCGAAAGTACAATGTCTCATTCTCTACATTATTATTGAAATCATATCATTAAACTTATTTTTCCAATCAAATTATACCATTCCCTCTTTTCTATTATTACACTCTCTTAAATGAAAAATACAATTATTATTGAATTATTTTCATTTCCCCACTTCTTATCATCTTTCCTTATAATTAATCATTTATTCATATTAATATATTTTTATTGAAAATTCCAACATTATAAACCATTAAAATTCAATTACTTAAAAATTCATCTACATCTTCTATCATGCATTTTTTGTTTACTTATATTATTTGTTAAATTAGCTTTTACACTTTTAATTTTATTTTTAAATATCAAATTTGTATTAATTACATACTATCATCTTTCTTCTACTTATCAATAAAAGAGTAAATAATTAAGTATAAAAGTATATTAATCTTTCTTTATAATTTATAGTCTTATTGAAAAAAAGGATTACAAGCAGCATTACAATCTCAAAATAACTTTTATATTATAATTTAATGATATATTGCATATTATTAATTAAATACATAATAGTATATTAAGAGATCTATATATTTGATAGATAGTTTAAAGAATTATTCTTTAAAGAAAAAAAAATTATATTATTCTTTTATGTAGTTTTAAATAAGAACGTTTAAAATTTTTGTTGAAGGTACTCAGCACCCAAAAGCATATTGATTTAATAACAAAATTATATTGCAGAAAATTTGGATGAGTTGAAATTTAATAATAAGATAATATTGGGAATCCATTAGATTTTTCTCTACTTAAGATATAGATTGATTTAAAGAGAATTGAAAAATTAATTTAAAATTTTGTTTTAATGATAGATAGTAAAATAATAGTGAATATATTAGAGTCTTGATAATAAAATGAGTAAATTGAAAATAATAATAATAATTAGTATATTAGATAAATAAAATGGGTTCTCAAGAGAGTAAGTAAGAGGGATAAATATAAGACTCACGATATGGGAAAGCTAGATTAATAAGAAAATAGAATTAGATATGTGCAATGAGGAAAGTGATAATATAGGATGAAAGTCAACATGATGGATTTATAAAGAGAGGAAAGATTGATCATGGGAATATGGTAAAGATATTGGAGAGTGGTATACAGAAAGAATAGGAATTATGTACTACATATTAGATGATGTACATAATAAGTGAATATTATGCGACTTCATTTCATAAGGAGATAGTGAACAGAAAAGGTAGAGGAGCATTTTGGACGGAGTAAGAACTATGGAATCAATTGATGGGATTAGTAGATGTAATGTATAATAAAATATAAAGTTGTTAATGAAAATGCAAGAAAAATAATTAGTTCATTAAAACATAAGACCATTAACAATAAGTTATATTAATGAGCATACATTGAAACTTAGTGATAATTACTTTTAGTAAAGTGCATTTTAGATGGCATAACAGAATCCTGAAAATTAAAAATTATTTGAATTATCACCAAAGTTATTGGAGGCTATAAATTAGAATAATCAATTCCCTAGACATAATCTATATAAAAGTGATGTTTGGAGTTTAGGAATGTGTATGTTGTAAGCAAGTCTATTAGATCATTGTAGAGATTGTTATGAGTAATATAAATATATTATATAGTTTTGATGGAGGACATGTTGATTTATCAAGAAAACTAGTATTATTAAAAAAGAATTATTCTATTAAATATGAATCTATTATAATTGCTATGTTATAAATTGATGAATAATCTAGACCAGATTTTTTATTATTAAATAATTTAATGAAAGGTAATAATACAGATTTAGCAATATCAAAATCATTAGAAAATTCATTAATTAATTGTTCTGCTGTTTGTAATGATTCCAAATCTCCTTTGAATTTAAAAGAAGATATTTCACCAGATCAATTAAATTAGTTAAAAGAATAAGTAGTAAGCAATCCTAGTAAAATTATTATCGAATTTGAATTATTGAGAATCAAACCAAAACTTACAATTAAGAAAACTAAAAAGAAAGAATTAGGATATTTTAAGTATTAGGATCAAATGGTTATAAGAGATCCAAGTAAATCATCAATTTAATAAAAATTAAATAATTATGCATCTGTTGATTATTCATTTAATAAATAGTTAGTTAATTCCTAATTGTAATTCACAAATTCTTCATAAAAGAAAACAAATACTGATAAGGAGAAGATTGAATAATTGATTGGAAATGGATTACAATCATATTCTATTGGTTTAGGTGTATCACCTACAATAGCACCTAAACCTTAAATATCTTTTATGGAATCATAAAAATAATATTAATCAGAATCCACTAAAATTAGTAATCCTAATTTGATTGATACTAATCCATCATTTAATAGTATTAATTATACAGAGATACCATATATAGTTAAAAAAGATATTAATTATAAATAAGAAATGGAATAAATGATTGAAATGAATAAATCAAGATGTTTTAAAACAGAACAATATCAAGATGGATCATAATATGTAGGAGAAATCTATAATCAATTAAGAGATGGATTTGGCAGATATCAATTTGTAGAAGGTGGTTATTATGAAGGATAATGGAAGTAGAATAAAATGCATGGATATGGAACACTTTTCTATGCAATTGGTTAAAAGGCTTATGAAGGATAATTTGAAAATGATCAATTCTCTGGATTTGGAACTTTGTACAATAAAGAACCTACTAAATTGAATGTCCCATTTGATTGTTCTAATTTTGATCTTATAGGAAAGTAAATACTTCATTCTAATCTATTTTTTTAGTTATTGGGTTAAATATGTGGGTAATTTTAAGAATGATCTTAAAGATGGTTAAGGAGCATTATATCTATCAAATGATGAATGTTATAAAGGAGAATTCCATTAAGATTATGTTGATGGTCATGGTTCATTTGGCTTAATTGCTGGAATTTGGCGTAAAAATAAATTGATTAAATGATATAATATAATTTTATTTTTTAAGTACTAATTATATAACTTTCAAATTTATTCTTCTTCTTCTTCTTCTTTTAATTTGACTAATTCTTATTATTCTAATTACCTTTTCTTCACTATACCTTTAACTTTTTAAGTTAAAACACAATAAACAGCTAAACAACATAAAATAAATGGAATTATTATATGCTTAAAATAAACACTATTCTATTATGGTTACCTAAATTAATCTTAACAATTATATTAAGAGATGAATAATTTCTAATTGTTTTAATCAATAGTAATCAATTGCTAAGTTAAGAATGGAATGCCCAATCTTATACGATTTATTTTTGATCTTTAAAAAGTAACAAGCTATCTCCCATCTTCCAATTAATAAGAATAAGCATCACTCTCTAATTTTATTCTCTCCTTCTATTCAAATAACAACTCTATTGTTGGTAATCCTCTTGATTTATCCTTCACTATCAAATACTAGACTTTCTTATCACCTATCTTATCCACTACTTCTTCTACTCCATACTCTTTCAAATAATCTCTCATCTTTATGTATTCAATTTCCGGTAATAAAATAAATGGTTCCTTACTATCTATATATGTCACATTCCCACTTGTATCTATTATCATCTCATCATTTATTTTTATCATCCTCATATCCACTTAATAATTTGACTACTCTCCCCTATACTATAATTAACTCTAATTTGCATTCTTAAATTCCCTTGTAATGAATCCTCTTGTATAACCAAAACAAATATGAAATACATTTGATACAAATGGATTCTAAGCATACTTAGCTTCTATATTTATGCATACACATACATCCTCTCTATAATCCTAATCCCAATGTTTCTGATTCATTCTTACTTATGTAAATTATTGGTTCTGACTCTTCTTCATTAAATATATCTATTAATCTTATCTCTGATTACAGTAATGCGCCCTCCTACATTATACAATCTGGAGAACAATCCATACATTTTATCATCTCACCAAAAGGTGCTGAATTACATCTTATTGTATCTCCTACTCTATCTAAATAACTCAATTCTGAATTTAAATCAACTATTAAAGAACCTGATTCATATTCTAAATGAAAATTATGTGTTATTTGCATTTAAGATATAGGATAAATATGAGATCCTAAAACACTTGATAACAAAAAATAAATTATCATTTATTAATAATATTCATTATTATAATATATTGTTTTATATAAAAATAAATATTTGAATCCAAATTCGTAGATTAATTTGAATAATCAGATAATAATCTTGTATTATAAATTGTTATGATTTATAAAACTAACAAAACTAGATTTTATTAATGTAGTTTTCAAAATATTTCATCTTCATGGATTCTACCAATTAGCATTAGCAAGTTGATTAGTTTTATTGTCTCCTCCATTTTAACCACCATTCAACATATGAGTTAATATTTCTTTAGTATACTGAAAATAATAAAAATAGTATAAATACTTTAAGTCTTTTTGCCATTTCTGTATTCTAACTATCTAAAGCGGTTGCTAAAGGATAATGACTTCTATCCCCAGTTTTATTCACATAAGTAACCATTTTATGTTCAGATGACAATATAATTTCAGTCTTATCTGTAAAATTAACCTATAAAATTAATATCATTATTACCTAAACAATTTTATTCGACAATCTGAACATAATGGCATGTCTAGTTTTCATCCATTTCTTAACATAGACTAACTATTTGGATTCTGGATCTTCATTTGAAGTTGTTTGAGGTTCACCTTCCAAATAACTTCTAAAATGTTATAGTAGTGTAACTTTCTTATGTAACTCTTAAGGATAATCATTAAGATTGTGTGTTTCACAAATATCTTGTTTATCCTATCCTTTTCTCTCCATATATTCAAATATCAAAGTCTTGGTATCAAGAACTATTTTAGTAGAATCATTAAAGAAGACTCCAGTAGCACCATTACTCAACAAATAACCTAATCCATATCTACTTGAGTAATCAACCCACTTCTTCACATAAACTTCCTATTTTGATTATGTCTATTTCACTCCAAGATTATTGACAGATTAAGCACCTTGCATTCCTGTTCCACCAAAAGGTTAAGAAAGAGTTTTCTGGCTTTAACTATTTCTAATATCATTTGGTTTTTATGATTATGGTCTTTAAGAACCACCATAACCAACATTCTATGCATTATTCAAACCACTTGAACCAAAATTATCATCCATTAGATTTCCACTTGAACTTGGTTTCTATACTAATATTATTTTATTTATAATTTTTACATGGGAATCGATCAGATGATCCATTTGTTTATTTTTAGACATTCTTTGGATTATTAGGATTATTTGGTGTAGTTTCTGTTAATCTTTAAGGTAACATATTTGTAGACATCTTTAAGTTACTTGTATTAGTTGAAGGTTAAAATTATTTATTATAAGATGCTGAAGGAGGACAAGCCAAAGTTGATAATGGTAATGTCTTTGGAATTGTTCCTCCAGTATTCATAAATGGATGAGCCATAATCTCATCTAATGTAGGTCTCTAAGCTGGATCTAAATTCAAAATTCTAGTTATCAGACTTTTTGCTGAATCTGATATCAACACATGTTCTGGAAATGAATATGAATTCAATCTAATCTTTCTATATGTAGTCTTGACATCTGGAGTCTCAAAAGGAGGTTTGCCTATCAACATTGCATACATGATGACTCCCAAAGACCATACATCTACTTCATAAGAATGACCCACTCTCCCATCCAATACTTCAGGAGCTATATAATTCGGAGTTCCACAAATTGTTCTTTTCTTTTCTCCCTCAAATTCTAACTTTGTTGCCAAACCAAAATCACCCAATTTTAATTCCATTGATTTATTCAAAAATAAGTTACCCAACTTAAGACTTATAATATTTTGTAACTTCTTACTCTCTATGAATCACTTTCTATGCATGTAAGTATTTCAATGCATTTATTATCTAACCCACATAACATTACACTTCTATCTCTGTCAATCTCTTTCTTCTCTTTATCAATTCATTCAATGTCTAATTTTAAACAACTTCACTTACTTAATTTGAACACAATTCTAATAAAATATACACATTCTCATGATCCTCAAATACATGCTCAAACTGTACAATGTTTGTGTTCTACAAACTCTTATGTATTTTTATTTCTGAAATAAGCTACATCAATTTACATCACTTACTTTCTAACGAGCCCTATTCTTTGTTAGACTACTCTTAACTATTATCTTTGCAGCAAGAACCTTCTTACTCTCCAAATTTGTGGCTTCATAACACTTTGCAAATCCTCCCTTCCCCAAAAATTTCCCTCTTTAATATTTCTTAATTGCCACCTATCCATTAACTGTTGTGATTTTCTCCTCAAATATCACTAATTATTCAGCCCTATATTTCCATTTAACTTTTACCCCTCTTAATTTGTTTTGTCGTCCATTATTTTAAACTATTTAAATTAATTATCTGATTTTTTTATATTATACCTTACCAAATTTTTTATAATTTTTTTTATTGTTCATCATGTTTATCTCAATTTCTCACCACATAAAAAATATGACTTAATATCAAACAATTTTACTAACAATCATCAATTTTAAAGGAATTTCTAAGAAAAATTCTTAACAATGAAAATTTAATACTAGATTAATTATCTTTTCTTATCAAATAATCATTAATGACTCTGTTTAAAAGAAATTTTTACTTTTTATTTCAAATAAAAAAACATCATTATAAAAAAGGTCGAATAAATAATTGAAATAAGAAACAAAAATCCAACATTTCATTTATAATAGTTAGGTAAATTTAATTTTTCTAAGAAATATTAAAAAAATTTTTAATTCTAATTTTAATTCTTAATTTCTGAACTATTGTTTCTATTTAATTGATATTGAAATTCTTTAGTCATATTTATCAAGATTCAGATTGAATGGATGAAATTCTAATAGTGAATCTTGGTTTAAAAGATAATTTAGATGATTGTTAAAAATCATTTGGTAATAAATGGAAAATAGTTGAGTAATAATAAAAATGATTGAATATATTTAAATATAGTTGTATAAAAATCCATCTTATACTGAAAAGTTAGAGTAATAAATTGAGAATAATAAAGAAAAGGAATTTAGATTAAAAAATATGTATAAATATTGGAATAATGATGATTAATCATTTTGATTCGACATCCAAACTATGTTCATAACAATTTTGTAATGCCTGTAAAAATATTCCACAAATTGCAACAAATTCAGCTGCAGGATAATTAAAAGTAAAATCAATTTTTCCAAACTAAAAGAATATTTCTAATTCATTACCACATCATCTGATGACTAACCAAAACCCATTCCAACAGTTATGAGTGTCTATCCAAACACAAGACAACATAGTTAAGCCCAGAAAATGCCTGAATTCTAATTACATGTTCTGAACAATCCGAATAAGAAGGAAAGTATGAATAGAGATGCCCCGCTTATGGTTAGTGCAAGGTAGGTTGAATAGTCATCGAATTTGAACTCTTCAGAGTTTTAGTTTATCTAATGAACTTAATAACAATATTGAGACATCCAACAAGAAATGTAAAGACACATGGAAAGGTTACTTAAAAAGGCACTAATAGTATTAGAACAATATCTTACTAATGTTTAGGCGCCCTATACTGATAAGAATATAACTTACATTGTTTTTGCAGAATGTTAAATATATATATATAAAAATTAATATCAATATTTTGTTGAAATTTTGGATTTCTTCTGAGATTCTGTAAAGTTGAGTTTCATTCTAGAAAGCTTTTCTTTTTGCGAATGAATTTCAACCCTTAATTCCTCTATAGTTTTATCTGCTCTTTCATTTATTGGAGATTTATTAGGTGTTCTTAAAGTAGGAGATCCATAATTTGGTAGTTTTTAATAAATATCTATATTAATAAACTTTTTTTACATTATTATTTCATCATATTTGGAGATCGATGAAATCCAGAGCTTGAAGATAAAGAATACTTATGGAAGACAGGTGATGAATCTATTTTTTCATTTTTTTAAACCAAAAATTCTAATTAATGAATTTACTACTAATAATCTTATGAAATCTAATCCAACTTTCTTTCTGACATCATTTTAAAATCATTATATCTTTATTCAAAGTATTATCTCTCTTTCAAAGTTAAATCTACTGTTTATTAAATTTGTGTTCTATAATTTATTGAATATTAATTACAATTCTTCTTATAATTCAGAAATTGTCTTTTAAGAATACATTTTCTCCATTTCTACTTTTTTTTAAAACTCTTTGTATAACTAATCAGATACTTATAACTATTGTTGTAAGTGATCACATTCTTAAATTTTAAATTATAATTGCTTCTTTTAATCATTAATAGATTAATCCTGTTAATATATTTACTGAATCTTTTATTTTATAATAACATCTGACTCATCTTAAATCAATTTGTAATCTCTTTTGATTTATTCAACTCTTCTGTCAAATTATATTTCAAGTTCTTTCTAAATAAATTCATGATTTTGCTTTTCCAATTACACTTCTTAATTAGAAAACTTCAATATAAATATAATCATAAATACCTAAATGATTTTTTTTAATTAAATCTATAAGAACTCCTTAAGATCAGCCTAAACATTTTTAAGGTTTCTTTAAATATGCTATTTAATCTCAATTAAGTATTATTTTATTTTGTCCTTCTATTAACTAATTAATCTCATTGCTTATTATTTAAATTACTTTAATTTTATATTTTTATCTTCCAATTATTATTAAAGTTATTATTGTTCTTTATTCAAAATATTCTAATTTCTGTTTTAAGTTTCAAGCTAATCTCTTTCTTTATTTTTGAATTCTTCAATCAAAGATAGAGCATTAGTATATTATGATATATAGGACTCTAAATCTTAAATTAATTCTTTATGTTAGTTTTCTAAACTTTCAATCTACTCACTCATTAATTATGATTCCCTTTCTAATTAATTATATTGTCTTTTTGATTCATCATATTATAATTTAAATTCAAGCTTTAATTTATTCTATTAATTTTCAAAATCAACCATATTTTATAACTTCTCATTATTTAAATTATCTATTTCCTATTGAAATTATGCTTCTCTTTTCAATTATTCTTCCAACATCAAACAATGTTCTTATTTTAATAATTTACATTTTTATTCTAACTCCTATCCTAATCTTTTATAAGAAAATGAACCTTAAATTTAAATTTCTAACTAATTCTGAATATTTTCTATTATCTCGTGCTACTATTACTTTTCCCTTTCCAATTCACTTAAATAATCTTAGTTCTCTCTTAAAGTATTCAATGTTTATTCAGAAAATTATCTTAATTCATCTATATCATTCAACAACATCTTTTTATGCTAATCTTTCTTTATCAATTCTTAATCCAAATACTATATTTTTGTCTAATACTCTTATATACGATTATTCAATTCATTAATCTATTAATTTAATTATTTGATCTAATCATTCAAGTTTTTTATACTTTACTATTTCATATCCTACTCAGTCTATAATGATTATCTCAACTACTTTGCTTCAGAAAACAAAATTAATATTTCTCTATCTTTATCATTTATTGTAGTTTCTAAACTTTAAGTTAAATTTTATTAAATTACTATTTTCTCCTACTCCTTATTCTCTTCCAAATTCTAAAATTACTTTTTATATTATATTTCTAAACTTTTAATTGCTTATCTGTGTTATGTTGATTGAAATTCTATGTGTTCCTCTAATTCTTTGATTTATTCTTATAGTTCCACTATAAACAAATCCTTATTATGCATTTCCTTAAGTTTCTATTTGTATTCTCTTATTTTATTACAACTCTTCTCTTTTAATTATTCTAAAGCATCCTTGTACTTTTGAGAATCTTAATGTTTCTTTGTTTTCAATTATTCATTCTCCTATTTCAACCTCTAAACTTCATTCTCAAAAATAATACTCTCATCAATTACAGATTAATTCTTCCTTTACTATTCCTTTATTACTTTTTCCATCTCTTGTTTCATTGTCTTATATTGTTATTCAATTACATTATTTGAACTTAACTATTATTCAAATTTTTATTTAACTTCCAAGACTTCTAAGTTTTTAAATTTTAATTGCTATTCAATTTTATTAATTGACTCCTTCAAATTCGAATTCTCCTTAGTCAATTCACTATTTAATTAAATGAACTCATTATTTTATCTACTCACTCTATCTAAAGTTAATGATAACTTCTAATTAAACTGATTTTACTCATCATACATTTCTTAAAGACTATTTAATTCTTTTAACTGTTGTATTTATTGTTCTTACAATTTCTGTTCTATATTCATAATTAACTATTATTCTCTCTCTTATTATTCTAACTATGTTTTTTCAAAATTTTGTTATTACTATCTCATCTCTTGTTATAATAATAAAACCTCCTCACTGTATTTAAGTTAAAACACTTCCAATGTAATTTCCTTTATTCTATTCAGAAATGCCCCTCTATTCTCAGTTTCTATCTAATCTCCATATGCTTTCTTTGTAATCTCAAGTATGCACTCTACAATAAATATCACTTAGGATTACTTTCTAACACTTTTTATTATGAAACGAACATATTGTTAATTTATAATTAAAACAAATTTATAAACTAAATTTAATTTCTTTATAATTAAGACCATTATTTTTAATTATTCATATCACTTAATTTGTTTATATTGAATCTCTGGAATTATATTTTTTGATCTTTAAAACAATAATTAGACATTTTAAAACTATTTAATTCCTCTGTGCATTTATTAATTAGGCATTATATAATAAATATAAAACTTTACTTTTCAATTTTAAAATACAAATATACTCTTTGAAGCATTTATTAATAGAAACAAAATATAATGCAGAAAGTTTTATAGTTTAATAAAATTTTGAAATAAGTAAAATGAATATATAAAATTTGGATGAATAATATTATTTAAAATTGTAAATTTTATTAAACATCTAATAATATCAAATGGATATTTAAATTCCCTTTTTTGTATCTGATGTAAATTGAAGAAGCTATCAAAAGCAGAACGATTATTATAAGAGTTAATGCCCCATCCTTTTCTTTTGTTCTACAAATAATAATTTTTGTTGTATATATGAAAGTTAGATTATAAATTACAGACGAAAAATCATTTGTAACATATGGGACATTTAAAACCTACATTAAATGTTAAATTCTATGTAAAGTAGATTTGAATACCTAATTCATAAAAAACTAGATGCGAGCCTTTTCAAATTAAATATTAGAATTAGAATAAATAAATTTTGATACAATTCCTTATATGAAGAGATTATTAAGAATACAATCTCTAATTTATCTAAAATGATTGAAAATCTAATCTAGATGAACATTTGCATCAAATTATTTAACTTTTGTTGTCAATTTTAATCAAAGGGTCATCTACTATATATTTGATCTAGATGTATTAAATATTATTCTAATTTTAAATTTATTGAAACTTACATTAAATAAGCTTCAATTAAATTAAATTCATATAAATTAGCTAAATTATAAGCTCCAAGAATATAATTACTATCATTCTTTATTATTGAATAAAAATACCGTTATAATAAAAGTAATAAATCTCTTAATATAATCAGTAATAGTTTGAATGTATTTGCTTTCGATTAAAAAAAAAATTTTCTCTTTAATATTGAAATAAATATAAGATTTTATTTTCAAACTAAAAACAAATATATCAATCACTAGAGAGATGATTTACTTTAAAAATTTACTTTCCAAGATTTTAATGTTAGAATATTGCATATTTTAACATCAAATAATTTTTTTTCATTTCCTTTAATCATTACAAAGTAATATGCTCCAAGATATAAAATCAATTTTTTTAATATTTAATTATCATAAAAAGTGTATTGCAACTGAAAAAGATACCTAATTCACATGTTGAACTATTTTTTGGATGCTTTAACTAGATTAATATACTAAATATTAAATTTCCGTTTAATCTATTGAATAAGTTCCTAGAATAAAAATTTAGCCTATAATTCAGTTTATTTATGTAATTTTACTAAAATTTCCATTAAATTAAAATCCTTCCATTAATATAGAATCACTTTATTTCCTAAGACAGAGCAGCAAAATGGGTGATAATGATTTAAATTCTTTAATTAATTTTATTTTATTAAAATTGCCCTTTTGTGGTGGAAATTTATGGATAAATATTTATGACTTGAACATTTGGATTTGATAGTTAAAATTAACAATTTAAAAATTTAACTAAAAGTGTATCAAGAAGGTGGAATAGAGGTTTTATAATAAAATAAATCATTAAGATTATATTCAGAATTTTAAAACTTAAGTTGAAAAAATTGATGATAAAGTAGATGATTTTCTTTTTCTTTATAGATTAGATATATTTATTGGTTATTGAAACAAGAAGATAGACTACAAGAACATAAATGTTTGAGGTTATAATCTATTTTAGTTTAAAATGTCATTTAATAATTATTTATAAATCATCTCTAATTTTTTTGAATTATTTTAAGAGTTTTTCATTTTATGTCTTATATTATATTTATACTCCTTAAAATTAAAATAAGACATCTATAAAATCATAAAATCTGAGATATAAATAAATCATCATCGTTAAAGAGGATCAAGTTTATATAATTATAAATAATATATTATTATACAAAATTAAATAACGAATTACAGAAAATATAAATTTATTTTAAAAATATTATAAAAGGAATAGCGTGGATTGCTTTATGCTAAAATTATCTTGATAATGAAAATAATTTCAATAAGATAAGATACATGTTTATTAAAAATATATTTAATCAATTAGTTATAATAATACGTTGATTTTGATCATCGTATCCTATTAATTAATTTATGAATCATATTATTCAACAACCAAAGACAGCTCAAAAATAGAAGAANCAATCACTAGAGAGATGATTTACTTTAAAAATTTACTTTCCAAGATTTTAATGTTAGAATATTGCATATTTTAACATCAAATAATTTTTTTTCATTTCCTTTAATCATTACAAAGTAATATGCTCCAAGATATAAAATCAATTTTTTTAATATTTAATTATCATAAAAAGTGTATTGCAACTGAAAAAGATACCTAATTCACATGTTGAACTATTTTTTGGATGCTTTAACTAGATTAATATACTAAATATTAAATTTCCGTTTAATCTATTGAATAAGTTCCTAGAATAAAAATTTAGCCTATAATTCAGTTTATTTATGTAATTTTACTAAAATTTCCATTAAATTAAAATCCTTCCATTAATATAGAATCACTTTATTTCCTAAGACAGAGCAGCAAAATGGGTGATAATGATTTAAATTCTTTAATTAATTTTATTTTATTAAAATTGCCCTTTTGTGGTGGAAATTTATGGATAAATATTTATGACTTGAACATTTGGATTTGATAGTTAAAATTAACAATTTAAAAATTTAACTAAAAGTGTATCAAGAAGGTGGAATAGAGGTTTTATAATAAAATAAATCATTAAGATTATATTCAGAATTTTAAAACTTAAGTTGAAAAAATTGATGATAAAGTAGATGATTTTCTTTTTCTTTATAGATTAGATATATTTATTGGTTATTGAAACAAGAAGATAGACTACAAGAACATAAATGTTTGAGGTTATAATCTATTTTAGTTTAAAATGTCATTTAATAATTATTTATAAATCATCTCTAATTTTTTTGAATTATTTTAAGAGTTTTTCATTTTATGTCTTATATTATATTTATACTCCTTAAAATTAAAATAAGACATCTATAAAATCATAAAATCTGAGATATAAATAAATCATCATCGTTAAAGAGGATCAAGTTTATATAATTATAAATAATATATTATTATACAAAATTAAATAACGAATTACAGAAAATATAAATTTATTTTAAAAATATTATAAAAGGAATAGCGTGGATTGCTTTATGCTAAAATTATCTTGATAATGAAAATAATTTCAATAAGATAAGATACATGTTTATTAAAAATATATTTAATCAATTAGTTATAATAATACGTTGATTTTGATCATCGTATCCTATTAATTAATTTATGAATCATATTATTCAACAACCAAAGACAGCTCAAAAATAGAAGAAACAATCTAAAGTAGTATCGAAACACCCAGAAATTTAACCAAATAAGACACTTGATGAATTAAAAAATAAGGAATGGACTGTAGCAATCCAAAAGGAAATCGATCAATTTGAATCTGCTATCGTATTTAATTGTTCTATATAATTAGTATGAAGTAGAAAGTTTATTCAAAGAAGCATCTATGTCTTAACATTTAATAAGTTTAGGAAGTTTTAAATTGGTACAAGATGAGTACGAATTTGCTACTTTCAAATTACACAACTTGAGAGAGATGCTTAAAATATATACTGATGATTATTCCAAATATCGTGAGAATAAATAAAAGTTGAAGGATATGACAAAAAAATAATACAAAAGTGATGAAGATAAAGAAGAAATTTAAAGGATAACAAGAGAATAACAAAATTTTAAATATACAAAAATAAGAGAGAGAGAAAAGATTTAATTTTAATATGGTGTTGCTTAAAGAGTCTTGATCCTCATTTAAGCCTATATTAAAATGAAGGATTAACATGAAGATTAACATGAATTATAAAAACATAGAGATTACATTCTCTAAAAGATTGAAAAGATTAAGAAGAGTGAAGAAAAACATACTAAGAAGATTGAAAGACATTATAGTAAAATATAGGTAGAAAATCCTGATGGGCCTGAAGAAATGCAATTAGAATAGGATCAAAGTGAAGGAGAGTATTATGATTAAGGAGATGATACTGCAAGAGAAGATTTAATAAGTATATTATTTTATTTATAGCTTTTTAGAGTTATGTGATAGCTTAGTCTCATACCTTACTAAAATTGAGAAAAAAGAAGGAGTATTATTATAATTTTAATTTTAGGATTCATTCTTATAACATGATTTAACTACTTTCCAATATTTTGATCAAATTAAAGTGGCTGCTCCATTCTATACAAATCAAATTTATTTAGCTATAGATTTGATTAAAGCCAAAAGATCTTTCTATTAGAATGCTCCTGATACCGAATTCGTTAAAAAGGATGTTCAAAAAGCAGTAATCAAATAAGAGTAGAAAGTCGATGTTACAAATGAGTAGGACTTTCCTAAATTAGCATGAGATTATATTATAATCATATTAAAAACAGATAATCTGACATCATTGATAGAAAATTTAATCATAGATATTATCGGAAGAGAACTAAATTAGATCATTAACATGAATCGAATCTAAATTAACAAAAAAATTTTAAAATTTAGAAAGGATGAATGAGTACTTAAAGAACTATTTAATATGTAAATAGTTTTGATATTCTCATTTTTAAGTTTAGTATTAATTTTATATTATAAAGAAACATTATAATTAGATTTTAGTTAATTATCAATATCATTCAGTTGTTAAGGAATAGTAAAAATAATAATAATATATTGAGATTAGTTGCTAATTATTGATAAAAATTAATTTAGTAGAATGTGATGAAAAATAAAGAAAAAAATAATACTTTAACAGATTGAGGGAAATCAATTCCATAAAGAAGATAAATTGAAATAACAAGTATAAAAAGATAATTTGAATAAGGTTTAAGACAATATAAAAGATTCTATGTCTTTTTAACTCAAAAGAATTATTGAATTAAAAGAGAGAAGATAAAGAATATGCTTAATAATAAATATAGAAAAATGATAATGAAGAAAAGAGTATTTAAAAGACCCAAAACTTAAAGATAGAATAAAAGTTGATAATGGTATTAAAGTACTAAGATTATTAAATATGCAAATTATAGATGGTTTTTTTAGATCTGGATCTATAGATGCTTAAATAGAAGTAATAATAGAGTTTGTAAGGACGATTATAAAAAAAATTGAATAACAATTATTGAATGAATAATTCAAAATGAAATTTGAGATAACTATTTAGAACACTTCTACAAGAATTTATTAAGCAGAAGGGTATTTTAGATCAGAGATAATTTGTAGAGAAAGTTGATTGTAAAGATGATGGAAAATAGAGCAGAAACTATTTCAGATGGTTTGAAAGAAGTGATTAAGAAAATAAGTTTGTTTTAGAGATAGTTCTGCTCTTCATAAGGTTATTCATATTAATGATTATTCATGGGAGGCAGTTAAAAAAGTGTAAGTAAATAATAAGAGGAATATTCCTGAAGGTTAAATTCTGAAAATTTAAGGAATCTCTTAAATAGGAATACAATTCATTACAGATTGATTATAAAAAATAGTTCATTCATTTGTTTATGTTTGCAGAATAATTGTGATTGTATATGGTCAAATAGGATGAAGCAATATTTAATTTATGATCAGAGATTGAGATATTAGAATAATTATAATGTGAATTAGAGAATTATGCTCTTATAAGTGATTAATTAATTTTATTATATAATGAAAATTCCATAAAAATTGTTGAAATTTGTAATGAAATATATATTGAATTGTAAATTTTCTTATGAAATTTGATTAATAAAAATAAAATGTAAGAAGATTACACTTATCAAGTATGATCTAATATAAGATTTTTTAGATTCTAAAAAAATGCAACGGGAAGGTTATAATATAGATAGATGAGCAATTATTGAATGTTATCAATACACATTTCACAATAAAACCTGAGTAGGCTAAAAAAGAGGTGCCTTATTCGATTAAGAAATAACATAATTTCTNCTTTAACAGATTGAGGGAAATCAATTCCATAAAGAAGATAAATTGAAATAACAAGTATAAAAAGATAATTTGAATAAGGTTTAAGACAATATAAAAGATTCTATGTCTTTTTAACTCAAAAGAATTATTGAATTAAAAGAGAGAAGATAAAGAATATGCTTAATAATAAATATAGAAAAATGATAATGAAGAAAAGAGTATTTAAAAGACCCAAAACTTAAAGATAGAATAAAAGTTGATAATGGTATTAAAGTACTAAGATTATTAAATATGCAAATTATAGATGGTTTTTTTAGATCTGGATCTATAGATGCTTAAATAGAAGTAATAATAGAGTTTGTAAGGACGATTATAAAAAAAATTGAATAACAATTATTGAATGAATAATTCAAAATGAAATTTGAGATAACTATTTAGAACACTTCTACAAGAATTTATTAAGCAGAAGGGTATTTTAGATCAGAGATAATTTGTAGAGAAAGTTGATTGTAAAGATGATGGAAAATAGAGCAGAAACTATTTCAGATGGTTTGAAAGAAGTGATTAAGAAAATAAGTTTGTTTTAGAGATAGTTCTGCTCTTCATAAGGTTATTCATATTAATGATTATTCATGGGAGGCAGTTAAAAAAGTGTAAGTAAATAATAAGAGGAATATTCCTGAAGGTTAAATTCTGAAAATTTAAGGAATCTCTTAAATAGGAATACAATTCATTACAGATTGATTATAAAAAATAGTTCATTCATTTGTTTATGTTTGCAGAATAATTGTGATTGTATATGGTCAAATAGGATGAAGCAATATTTAATTTATGATCAGAGATTGAGATATTAGAATAATTATAATGTGAATTAGAGAATTATGCTCTTATAAGTGATTAATTAATTTTATTATATAATGAAAATTCCATAAAAATTGTTGAAATTTGTAATGAAATATATATTGAATTGTAAATTTTCTTATGAAATTTGATTAATAAAAATAAAATGTAAGAAGATTACACTTATCAAGTATGATCTAATATAAGATTTTTTAGATTCTAAAAAAATGCAACGGGAAGGTTATAATATAGATAGATGAGCAATTATTGAATGTTATCAATACACATTTCACAATAAAACCTGAGTAGGCTAAAAAAGAGGTGCCTTATTCGATTAAGAAATAACATAATTTCTAAAGACGAATAGTACCTTTTTTTATGAATTAATTCATGCATTGGGCAGAAGAGATGGGATATAAATAGGTTGATGGATATTTGAGAGCTATTCATAAGAAGAAAACATCAAAATAATAAAAGTTTGAGTTAGGAGATCTTAAGAAATTATTTGGTTGTATTAATCCACGAACCAAGATCATATAAATTGAAACTCAGTATAAATGGATTGAATTCTTGAGTTTTTAAGCAGAGATCTGTGTTGTTGTCAACAATAAGATCAAGGATCAATCAACCAAATAAATGTACATTCAAGCAATTGAGAATTTAAAAGATGAATTAAAAAAGGAATAACCTTATGATAAATTTTTAAGTCTTCCAAAAAAAGAGAAATCAAATGATTCTCTAATAGATGAATCAAAAGAGTTATCAATCAAAGAAGAATATTCAAGTGATGAAATTGATGAGTAAGCTCCAACTTATAAAGAAGATCCTTACTCTTATTTAAGTTGTGCATATTCAAGTTATGATTGACTTTGTACTCATGTTTTTTCTATAATTAACAAATTATGACATCACTAAACTTATTAATTAATATTCATGTAATAATATATTGGAGATATTAAATAATTGCAAAAATCTCCTCCTGATTAATTTTCTTTCTTACTTAGAATTGGAAATAAATCTTAATCTACATCTCTTTCAAATCTCTTCACTGGAGATCCTGCTATACCTGTAATTGGCAAATATTCTAGAAATCAATATCATTTTTTAAATGTAGATGCCCTAATATAAATGGATTTAGATTTTAGTGAAGATAATTATCATTGTTAAGGATAAAAGATTAATTTACCTAATAATGTATTAAATATTTTACATAATATTCCTGATAAAATAATTCATAATAAACCTCCTCCAAAAGAGAATAATAAATAAGGAGCTTAAAAACAACATAAAGGATAATAAAAATTAATAATATAATAATCGGATAAAAAACTAAAAGAATAAATTTAATAAGAAGGAGATTTTATTATAATGCAATTTCATCCATTACAATTTCATGTTTCTCATAATCTCAAATTTAGTTGGATTATAAGTTCATTAAAAAATAAAAAGATTCTTCAACCAATGAAATAAGAACCATGTTTAAGTTACGTGAATCATAATTGGGTATTTGAAAGAATCAACTTCAAAAATACTAAAAAATTAATTTAATATCTCCCCATATGTGTTATAGATCCAAAAGGAGTATTTGAATATCCAGATCCATATAAAGGACTTAGTTTTAAAGGTTTAAGATCTGAATACATGTCAGTTCATTTAGGTCCTTAAGGATCACTTTGTTTTTCACCAAACAATATGAAATTAATGGTTGATATGAAATGTCCTTTAATTTCATTTTGGACTGTTATTCTATAAGAAAATGGAATTCATTAAGTTAATTTACATTGGATCATTTTATATGAATTATTCTCAGAAATGTCTCATGTAATAACAAAAGAAGCATAAACAATTTAACAATTAATAATAAATTATAGTGATTTAATTGATGATTTTAAAACAGAATGCGAACAAATAAATAAAGTTTTTGGTTGATAAATTCATTCTGTATTTTATAACAATTAAAATATTTTATCCTTATATATCCTTTCTTAAGTTAACCATGAATCTTCTTTCTCCTACATTTATTGTTCTAATCTCAAGATTTGACTCTTTAATTAATCAATTATATTGACATTAGCATTTTTCTCTAACTCTAATAATTAATTGGATAATTCCTTAATAATTGAATTTTTCTTCTCAATAGTTTTCTCATATTATTCCTAATTAGATAAAGTAGATTAATTAAGTACAACATCATTCAATTACTAATAACCTTATTATGATCTCTAATTCACCTTTCTTAATTATTCACTCTATTATCTTATAATAACAGTTAAATGTTAATTCTCATCTTAAACTTTATTAAATTTTTCTTCGAGTTCTGCACATTTTTGTTTCCATGATTAAATTTCAGAATCATATGAACAAACATCAAAATTGTTAAATGTTGTGGAATCATCCAAAATCTTTTTAAATTTTCCATCTGATTTAATATGAATATTAAGTTACTCAATTTATTTTTCTAATTCAGCTTCTTATTATGAAAGAAGATCTGTGATTTCTTTAAAATTATCATATTCTTAAGGAGGTTAAGTGTTTTATTGCAATTTCTATTATTGAAATTTCTCACCTAATTAAACAAACTTTTAAGTAAGATTATCTTATTATTCTTATATTAGTTATTCTTATTATTATTATTATTATTATTATTATTATTATTATTATTGTTATTGTTATTATTATTATTATTATTATTGTTATTATTATTATTATTATTATTATTATTATTATTATTATTATTATTATTATTATTATTATGTTTTTTATTATTATTAGATTAAGAGTGGAGTTATTTAAGTTGATGATTCATTGGCTCTACTTATTAAAATATTAGTCTTAAACTCTTTAGGTGGAGATTAACTACGAGCTCTTATTGATCTAGATTCTGTCTTTTTAGAACTAGATAATCTTGCTGTTGAAGGTGCAGGTCCTATAACTGGAGCAGGAATTTCTGCTATTGGAAATTCTTAAGATTCGAACATTGAATCCTTAATCACTTTAAATAATAAAGCAGCTCTCTTATCTGTTGTAGAAGTAAGTGGTTTTTTTTATTTTTAATCTTGAGTTGATCCACCATCTAAAAAGTAAGCTAAATTGATTACACAATCACCAAGTAATTAATTTCCAGATAAATAGAAAAGAAATTTTATCTATCTCTATAGAAACATCTTACATTCTAATCAGCATATATCCCATCCTTTTTTATCATCCTTTATTAAAACTCAACTACTTAATCAATTGGAAGACGACAAATTGTCATCGTCTTTTCAGGATTCTTAATTGGTAATTTACTAACCACTTATTGAGCTACAGCTGTATTACGCTTCAATAGAATTGTCAATTCATATTACTATTGATCTTATTTAGGACTGAATTCTAGATATTAAAGTATGAATTTGAAATGCTTTTGTTAATTCATTATTATTTTTAATCAATCATCTTCACAACTCTACTTTTTAAGCCCTCTACTAGACTTCCTATTCTCCTACTATTACACAAACTCAAACAAATATAATTATAAGATAAAGAATTATTACACACCAATAGGTTTTATTTTATTTTATTTATTTTAAGCAAAATCAAATCATTCTGAGATAAAGAATTCCAATTCTAAAAGAACTTTATTAATTTATCAAAATTATTAAATGAGGCTAAAATTTAAGAAATAACTTAAAAAAATCTACTAGAACCTTTTTAAGAATATTAAATTAAAGTTTTAAAAAACCCAAACTTCATATGTAATCTAAATATTAATTTTCTTAGAGGATATTTGTCATCATAATTAAAAAGATTGGCATTCACTTAAATAATTGAGTAAAGTGAAATTGAAACACAAACAAAATCATAAAAATTTCACTTTTCTTGCACTCTAATTGTAATAAAAAAATTCATTTTTTGAAAAAAATGAAAACACTCCACTCCAATCTATGGTAAATCTACGCATATTGATTGAAAGGAAGGCAAAAATATTTAATAAAAGAAAGTTTCTAAAAAATATAGATAAAAGAATACAAAAAATATGCATGAAAAACTGTGATAGGTGAGACAGATAGTTTTTTTTTCATTTTTTAAGGATTTAGACTTTAAAAATGAAGATGAATTGGAAACAGAGTAAAGAAGATATGAGGAATGATGATATTGATATAAGGAGAGAATTAATAGATTGAATAGTTTCATTTTTTTATGAATTGTATATTGGAAATTCAAACTGAAAGAGAAGAAGTGAGATGATGATGAAGAGAATTATGTAGATGATGATAAAGAGTAAGAAAAATGATAAAAAGAAATGGGTAAGGATATGAATGTGATTTATTGAAACAGAAGACATCAAGCAATAATTAAAGAGGTGATAAGAAGAAAGGGTAGAAACCAGGTTGTACATAATAATGAAAACAAATACATGTTAATTAAGCAATGTTCTATTATATGTTAATAAATAATAATGCAAGGTTTATTGTAGCCATGTTAATAAAGTTTATTGGTTCGTTCACCAACAGAAGGATCTTTAAAGAGTTATAGTAGATATGAGAGTAAGGGTAAGAAAAGAATAGTATACAAAAACAAGAAAGGAGAAATAGTAGAACCTCATGAGAAATTTGCAAGATCTGAACATTTTAGTGAATGTCATGGTGGTCATTCTGTTAAATCTCGAACAACAACACCGACTCCATCAGATAGTGTAAAAACATAAACAAATTCTATATTGGATTTGTTACCAATAGATGACCCAATTTGGTTAGAGTTGATTCCTATAGAAATTCAGTAAGATGAAAACTTTAATTTGGAGAAATTGATTATGGATAATTAAGAGTATTTTGTAAATTTGATTGGTTTGTACATGTAGGAGAGACAATAGAACAGAATTTAAGAAATAAAAGTGTCTCTGCCTTATAAAAAATAAACAACATATGAGTAAGTATTCAAGAAATTGAAAGGAGTTGATAAATCAAATTTTAATATAAAGATGTATGACTAGATTCCAGTAGGTTAATCTCTTCAGTTACAAACGCAATATGAAGTATTAAATTTTAGAGATGGTTATTAGAGTTCTTATCGTACTCCAAAGATTCAGTAATAGGAGAATTATAAGCCTGGTTACTTAAAGGATAATGCTGAAATGTTGACTCTGACTAGCTATAAATAGAATTATATGAATTGGAAACCATGTCTTACAGATAGAGTTGGACCTTAAAGAGGATAGAGTACTGGAGCATTACCATTTATAGGCAAGACATCATATTAAGATAATTATAAAGTAAATAATTGTGAACCAATGGAATCAGCTAAAAAGAGATCATTGTAATATATAAATATATTTTAAGGGGTCCTTTTGCATCTGGAAGTTCAATGTTATTTAAAGAGGCATTATCTAAGATTCATTATCCAAGTTATTAGATTGAAGAATTAGTACCTCGTAAATAAAATAGTACTCATCAATAAGGTAGCGCATCTTATGATGGATAATTTAAAACCACTTTTAAAAAGTAATTCCTAATCATTTTATATCTATAGTTCATTTGCTTATAAAGTACCAGATCCAATAGTATAAGATAGATATTGGAAATAGAAATTGCTATAAAAGATATTGGAGAAGAAATAAAATTGAAATTTGACTTATTTTGTATAAATATAATAAAAGAATGACAGAGTTAGGATAAGTAATAGAACGTATGAAGCAATTAAAAGAATCTATAGATTTAATAAGATATCTTAATAATAGTAATAGGAATATCTATGTATTTATGCAGCATATGTTTTATTGCTATAAGTTAGATTTACATTTTTAGAGAAGTTGGATATCTTAGATATAAGGATATGTAAAATATAATAATAAAAATATTCATCACACTTATAGTGGTTTATTGGTTCTGAATTTGGAAATGATTCAAAAGAATTAGTAAGATCATCTGTATATAATTGAATTTGATACAAAAATTAAAAACATAAAGGAGAATTTGCATTTTAAATAGCAACAGTATCTGTTGTTACCAGTATAATTATTAAGGAGGTGCTGCTGGTCTCATGATAGATATTGGATATTATCTAAAGTATTTTCTTCTGTTGAATATCCATCTTTTGCATAGATGGTTAATGTAATTAGGATATCATGATTATGCTTCTAATGTTACCATTCATACTTCTGTTGGTAGAGTACTTTAATAGTAACTATGATTAAGAAATTTAGATTTAATCCAAAATATGCTGAACATTTTCAACTTAATAATTAATTGGTTGAATATGAAGTTTAATTATCTATGGGAAACGATGTTATTAACTTAATATCTAAAAGTTTGAATCATTTATCTATATTAGATTATCAGCTCTTATTCATTTAATTACAATCTTATTTATCATAAAAAAGAGTGCCTAAGAGTTACTTTTGAAGAAGAACATGAAAAATTAGATATTGCAATTATTAGTTCATGATATAGAGATCTTATCTCCTCTCTCTATTTTATTATAAATCCATTTCGTGCGTATTATTTTGAAAATTTTCTATTCATTGAATACTAATAATATTATTAATAAAATCTTCATTTTAAATATTCATTTTTAATTTATTTTCAATTTCCAAAAGATGCAAAACCAAATACATTCCTCAAATTTTAAATAGCATAGAAAGTTAATGATTTTCAATTAAAATCATGATGCATCTAATATCATCTAATCCTCAAAAAATTAATAATTTAAGAACAAAAAAAATAAATATTATCCTCTTTTACACCTTTTTCCTGATACTCCTCAAAGGAATATTAAAACAGATATAGATTCTGAAATTAATAGATACTTTTATCCATAATAGATCAAAATAAATCGAAGATGTTCACATTCCACCAGAAGAAGTCAAGCCGAGTATAATTTCAGTAATAATCAACTTTGTTCTTCCTTTCAGAAAAATAAAAAAGATTAAGCCTGTTAAACTTATTTCTTAGACGAATTTGTGACTGTAGAAATTTGATTAAATATCTAATGTACATTGTATATAGTGTAGATTATTTAAATTATCAATTGTCTAAATAAATTCTACCTCTTCATTCCAAAACAGATAATCAAAACTTTTAGCTTTTGTACTTTTAATTTTTCAAATCAAATAAAGAACAAAATTTTTTTCATTCATTATTATATTTATTTATTGTCTAAAATAATAGTTAATTTGTAAATGTCTTTTTTAAAGAAATTATTAATATTCAATCCCAATACACCATCCACTATTTATTTTGATCCATCATATATATTTTAAATTTAAGATTTAATTTATTCAGCTGCTGAGCTATTTCTCCATAAATATTTTTTATAAATAAAAATAATAAAATTTTATCCTAAACCAAAATATTTATTTTTTTTGATATAAATTATCGATAACAAATGATGATCATTGAACAGTGTAATTTAGCTTGCAATTTCTTAAGATTTTCAATTTTAGGGAATCATCTATCTATTCTTTCATACTATCAATTTTCAAAATTTTTTATTTGATGAACTCATCCATATATTTATTAGGTATTATATATTGAGAATTCTTTATCATATTTTCATCTTCTCTGTATTAATCAAACTCAGTGCATAAATCCATTATTATATATGGACAGCTACTAGCTTTTGTCTTGCAAATAATTAATAAGAAATATCATAGTAATACTTCTGATTTAATGAAGATAAGGACTTGATAATAGATAATTTATGCGTAATTTAATTTTAAGTTTTCATTTTATTAGACAAACACTTCTTTTTATTAAAAAGTCTTAGATGTACTTGTTTTTAATTTCAAGATAAATTTTTTTAATTCTATCCTGCAATCCTTTAACTTCTATTTTTTTTATTTTTATTTCAACTTTAATCTTATTTATGATGATTTCAATGAAGTATTTTTATAATTTTAAGTCTCTTCACTATATAACTTGGAATATTGATATAATTACTCAATCATCTCTTTTATGTGTGATTCTTCTATCACATTTACAATATTTAACAAAGAATTTATTATTTTTTTAAATATATATTGTATAAAAGGGAATTCTTTGAAAATATTATTTAATAAAATTCATCTTTTCGAAAATAAGTTCTTTTTTTTTTAATTATTGCGATTATCATTTTGGTATTCACTTCATATTCTTTTTGATTTTTCTATTCTAGAAGAATTAAAAATTTATTTTGTTATTTAAACATTAGATCTACCAAAAATACTTTTTTAATTTTATAAACAAAAATCTCTATAAAATCTTATTTCTTACTTTTATATATTTGATTCAAGCATATACTTTTTAAAAAGTTTGTAAAACATGAGATTAAACTCAAATAATTCAATAATTATATGATTATTTTAAAAATTTATCTTAATATACTTATTCTTTCAGCCATTTTTGCTAAAATAAGATAAAACCTTTTTGAGTTAATTTCTTGTAAACAAAAAATAAAGTTTTTTTTTCCTAAATCAAATTCAAAACAATTTATTAATTTATTCATATTCATTTTTTATAATCTAAATTTAGTTTGATTTAATCTCAAATATAGTTATTTTACAAATCAACTTTAGAGAATCTAATTAGTTGCCTATGAATAAAGGACCTATTCTTTTGATAAGGATAATTGTATTTCCAATCAATAAAATTCTTAGTTTTTGTTTAAAGTAATCATGATAATTCAATCACTAAATTGAGAATTTTTTGAAAATGTTTTAAGAAAGAATATTAATTTTAGAATTACTTAGAATTCTTTTATATTGAAAATAAATAAAAAATGAATATATAAAAACAATATAAATTAATAAATAAATTCCATTGAGATGGTTTAATATGAAGTAACTTCAGAAAATATTCATAGAAGAAAGGATAATGATGCTTATTTCAGACTCAATTATCTATATTAAGCTTCATTGTTGTTTTAAGAGTCGAATATAGGTTATGCCTAATTTATGAAGATATAAATGTAAAAGGTTGCTGAAAAGGGTCCAATAAGATTGACTCCACAATTAAAACACACTCATTGTAAAAAATGTAAATTCCCAATCATTTAGGGTGAGTTAAGATTTAAGAAAATATGCAATAAATTATTTATCATTAAGAGTTGTCCAAATTGTAAATTTAAAAGAAAAATATTTGTAAAAAAGTTAAACATGTTGTAATTGATTTAAGAATAGAATTGAGAGGGATATTCTTTTATTTTTATCAAAATTGGATCATCTAAATTATTAATAATAATAATACCAATAGTATTTGATGAAAGAATTATAATATATTTATGAGCAATTTAATTTTTTTTATAGCCAAAAAAAATTAATAAAATTTAGATGTTTATCCGATAATTGATCATATGAAATTATTTTTTAGAATATTAAAAATTTTTTCAGTTAACATAAAGAATCAAATCTTGATTTTGTGATTGAAAAGATAGGTAATAAGTCTAATTTAATTAAATTAAATTAAAATATATTATTTCTCTTTTACGATAATGACTAGTGAAATTCACTCATTTTTTGATAACAAGGATTAATAAAAAAACAAGATTTGGACAAAGTTTTGCAAGAATTTCCATAAAGTAAAGTATTTGAACAAGTGTATAGAATGATATAATAGAATATGAGACTGAATGCAATCGCCTAAGTCGAGCTCATAAGAAATTAAAGCCATTTAGTATTTAAATAGGTTAGGAAAGTTTATATGCCTTTAAAAACTAATAACCATAAGGAATGCTGTAACTAACAGTTGTAATAATGTTATTTAAACGATTTGATGATAAAGAGATAATTAGATTACAAAGACATGGCTAATATGTGGATATTTATTTAGAAAACCTGGAAGAATTGAAAAAAGTTCTCAGTACTAAATGCATGCTCACAAGTTTTCATGATGATTTTAGTGTTCTAAAAATGATTGGTAAAGGAAGTTTTGCAAATGTTTATTTGGCCTCAAGAAATACAAATGGTGTTCAATATGCAGTTAAAGCTTTTAGCAAACTATTTATTCATGGATAATTTAGGGGTAGAGAAGGTTTAGAAAATGAAATAAGAGTAATGAGAAGACTGAATTAAGAAAATATTCTGCGTTTATATGAAGTATATGAAACTCAAAATTCAATTTATTTTATTTTGGATTTATTAGAAGGGGGAGAATTATTGAAGAGAGCATAAACTACAATATATTCAGCTTAAAAAATTTAACAATTAATGTATAATTTATTAAAAGCTTTATATCATATGCATTAAAAAAAATGTATGCATAGAGATTTGAAACCAGAAAATTTATTATTAAAAACAAAAGATAATGATACAGATGTTATAATAGCTGATTTTGGATTAGCACATATATTGGATTAATAACCGCTTTATAAAAGATGTGGAACTCCAGGATTTGTAGCACCTGAAGTATTGAAGTACAATGATTATGGTCCTTTTTATAATGAAAAATGTGATGTTTTTAGTGCAGGAATTATATTTTATATGATGATTACTGGTACACAACCTTTTTTAGGATCAGATTATAAAGAAATATTATAATCAAATAAAAACTGTCAAATTAATTATGATATTAAATAGATAATGAAGGTATTTAAATTTCTATTATTTTAAGGGACCTTAAAATCTGAAAAATTTATTAAAGAAAATGCTAAAGTCTGATCCTATTGATAGATATTCAACAGCAGAATGTTTGAAACATGAATATTTTTAGGAAATCTTTAATTCAGATGATTTATTATATACTAAGGAGAATTTAAAAAAATATGAATCAGAATTTAAGTCTACATTATTAAGAAAGAAGTATTGAAGTGTTTTATTTTTAGTTCTCAAGAAAGTCAAGAAGGGTCAATGTTATTGATGAGCAAATAATAATAATGGAATGGTTAAACTGAAACAATTGGATCATTATCTAATTGCTCAAATTAAAGTGCTAATAATAAAATTGATAAATAATAGACTAATCTTTCTAAATTCAGTTAGTTTTGTTCTTAAATGAAGTAAGAAGGATTATCTCCAAATAATGTTATTTCTTCAAGAAAAAAAAACAATTAAGATCTACACAAATTTGCATTAAAAAATAGCTATCAATAAAAGTAAATAAGTAAAGATGATGATTTTGTTATTGATGATGAATAAACTACCATTACTAAATAATTAAATAAATTAAATACTTAATCACCTAAAATGGGGTTTTTAAAAAAAAGTTAATCATTAGGAGTAGATTGAATAATATTATAATAAATATTTATTAATTCTTATTTATCTAAGGTCATCTATTATGATATTGAGCTATAACTCATATTTTAAATTACATTATAAGATTAGATGAGATTTTAATTAGAAATCATTTTAATTAAATGAAGTTTTCTTAATCTCTTTAAGGGGATGTTTAAATTATAAATCTTATATAATCTATTCTTAGAATGGGAATTTATTATAAATTTATTAATATTAATATTGTAATAATTAGATTAAAACTTAATATATCTGTAGTTTATTGATTAAGTTTTTCTCATTTAATTTTGATTTACACACTATAATAAGTTCAAACATCTTAATGATATTTTCAAAATTTAAAGATTCATAAAAAATTTTGCTGCTAATTTCATTAAAATATATATTTAATTTTATATATATTCAATCAATATATTTAAAGTTTTAAAAAATATTTGTTAAATCAGATGTTAAATTGATTTTAATAATTCAAATAATAGAAATGAATGATTTCTCTTCTCTTTTTTAATGATTAATACTAATAGAAATGTTGAGTTTAATAGAAAATGATATAAGGAGTTGATATATTTATTATTTGTCTTGCTTTTAAACATAAATAATTAGATTATATATATAAGTCTATCAAGCATGATTCTTCCTTAATTTTAAAAGTCTAAAAGGTGTAGATTTGTTTGATGAATAAATTAAAAGTATGAATTGATTATTTTATTTGGATAAACAATGTTAATCGAGTTTAGATTTGATATTCTAAATAGTTGAAAGAATATTGGTATATGTTGAAGTTTCTGATAGGTGAGAGTATTGAGAGTTGAATTGTTTAGAATAAGGAAATAGAATTGAGAAATAAGAAAAGAGAAAAATAAATAATCTATTATAATAATGAAAAACAAATTGTGGAGCCCTTATACAAATGATGTGAAGATAGGAATGTAATTGATAAAGTCAGAATTTTTGAGGAAAGGAAAGTCACGTTATTTAGTAGGAACAGATAATCTGCTCATAATATTTGAGGTTTGTTGTGAGAGATTAACAAAAAGGACCCGCATGATAAAAAACCATTGAAATATACGAGAATAAATTTTGATCTAAAATTTGAGATAGTTCGAACAGCACCTAAAATGAGGCCAGGATTTCCAGTAGTGAAAGTTTATAATGATGGTCGTCCAGATTAAGTGAAGAGTGAAAATATAGAGAAATTGGGTGATCCAATAAAATTATATTTGTTTATAAATGAATAACACAAATATGAATTGGTAGCACATTAATTGATTATTATATAATGGAGATAGTTTTTGGGTAAAAGAATAAATTAGTATGGGTTCCATCACTTATTCAAGGTGTATAAGAAGATAGGGAAAGGAAGTTTTGCATCTGTTTATTTAGCAGAAAGNGTTTATTGATTAAGTTTTTCTCATTTAATTTTGATTTACACACTATAATAAGTTCAAACATCTTAATGATATTTTCAAAATTTAAAGATTCATAAAAAATTTTGCTGCTAATTTCATTAAAATATATATTTAATTTTATATATATTCAATCAATATATTTAAAGTTTTAAAAAATATTTGTTAAATCAGATGTTAAATTGATTTTAATAATTCAAATAATAGAAATGAATGATTTCTCTTCTCTTTTTTAATGATTAATACTAATAGAAATGTTGAGTTTAATAGAAAATGATATAAGGAGTTGATATATTTATTATTTGTCTTGCTTTTAAACATAAATAATTAGATTATATATATAAGTCTATCAAGCATGATTCTTCCTTAATTTTAAAAGTCTAAAAGGTGTAGATTTGTTTGATGAATAAATTAAAAGTATGAATTGATTATTTTATTTGGATAAACAATGTTAATCGAGTTTAGATTTGATATTCTAAATAGTTGAAAGAATATTGGTATATGTTGAAGTTTCTGATAGGTGAGAGTATTGAGAGTTGAATTGTTTAGAATAAGGAAATAGAATTGAGAAATAAGAAAAGAGAAAAATAAATAATCTATTATAATAATGAAAAACAAATTGTGGAGCCCTTATACAAATGATGTGAAGATAGGAATGTAATTGATAAAGTCAGAATTTTTGAGGAAAGGAAAGTCACGTTATTTAGTAGGAACAGATAATCTGCTCATAATATTTGAGGTTTGTTGTGAGAGATTAACAAAAAGGACCCGCATGATAAAAAACCATTGAAATATACGAGAATAAATTTTGATCTAAAATTTGAGATAGTTCGAACAGCACCTAAAATGAGGCCAGGATTTCCAGTAGTGAAAGTTTATAATGATGGTCGTCCAGATTAAGTGAAGAGTGAAAATATAGAGAAATTGGGTGATCCAATAAAATTATATTTGTTTATAAATGAATAACACAAATATGAATTGGTAGCACATTAATTGATTATTATATAATGGAGATAGTTTTTGGGTAAAAGAATAAATTAGTATGGGTTCCATCACTTATTCAAGGTGTATAAGAAGATAGGGAAAGGAAGTTTTGCATCTGTTTATTTAGCAGAAAGAGTAGAAGACAAAGAATAGATGGCCATTAAAGCATTCTCTAAGAGTTTGGCATATGCCGAAGAAAACGGTAAAGAAGGATTAATCAATGAAATTAAATTAATGAGATAAGTGGATCATCCAAATATTCTAAAACTATATGAAGTTTATGAAACTGTTAATTCTTTATATGTTTGTTTAGAATTATTAGAAGGTGGATAATTATATGAACAATTGAAAAAGAAAGTAATATTTAAAAATTAGGAAATTTAAATAATTATAAAAGCATTATTAGAAGGTTAGTCTTGCAAATTTATAAGTAGGTCTAAAACATATACATTCTAAAGATATAATGCATAGAGATATCAAACTTGAAAATATATTATTCAAAAAACAAAATGCATTTGATTCAGTTTGCCTAGCAGATTTTGGTCTAGCTACATCAACTCATGAAAAAGTATATTTATACAATCGTTGTGGAACTCCAGGGTATCAATTAAATAACAATATAGATTTGTTGCTCCTGAAGTCATTAACATTAAAGATTTGACAACTAAATATGATAAGGTTTGTGATATCTATTCATTAGGTTTAGTTTTTCATCTTCTTCTGACAGGTAAATCTGCTTTCTCTGGTCGAAGTTATACTACTATTGTTAATCAAAATAAGGAAGCTAAAATTCACTGGAATTCCTAAATCTTTGAATTAATACCTAAACCAGCTTTTGATTTATTAAAAAAGATGTTAGAAACTAATCCTAAATAAAGAATTACAGCTGAACAAGCATTATTACATCCTTATTTCAATTCTCTTTAGATCTCTAATATTTAATAGTTTGAAGATGAAAATATAGATATTGACGATAGTTGTAAATTGGATCAACAATTATAAAAATTTAATGAACTCAATAATAAATCAGACATGATGCGTATAAATTAATTGGCGAATTCTCCTATTAAATCTCCAATTATAAGAGCTACATTAACTTCCTGTATGAAAGAATAAATGAGAGAAAGTATTAATGTCTAAGAATAAATTATTATGCATACACCTGTTATTACTGGAAGAGTTTATAACATTGATGGTATTATAATTATTAATTAATTTTAATGTAGATTCACCTTAGTAATAAGAAGTTTAGAGAACTTAAAGATACGAATCACTTCACTATTTATAATCATTTAGCAAATAATAATATTAACAATAAATAAATGAAGATGATTCTAAAAATGATAATTTTAGAGAACCTACTATTTAATAAGTTAAGTCAAGTTTAAGTAAAAATTTGTGATCATATTTTATCATTGAACCAATCTGAACCATATAACTTTTCTACCCAATCAGTAAAATTTTATAAGCGGTAATTCTTGGGTACACGATTTATTTTAGTAACAACTATTTGTTTCTTAATCTCTAGTTTTGGTTCCAGAGTAAAAAAATTCTCAATATCATATTTGCATTCCAATTGACTGATCTTTCTCTAAGTTTATTGTACAGGCATAAACACCTATGAAGAACCATCTAAAACTTAACTCCCACGTCGAGCCAATCTATTTGTTGGCAATTCTGTTATCAACTTCTTCTCTGGCATCAATAAAGGACCATAATTATTCCTATTTTTCCCTAAGAGAAAATCTATTGAATCTCTATTAGACTAAAGAACGTAAGCATTGGTCTTCTCAATTCTTGGAAGTTTGAAGCCTTCATTTACTTTTGTCTATTTGAACATCTTCACTAATCTAGACAGCTAATTTATTTTATAAATATTTTATTTAATTATTAGCAGATTTTTATGAAATCTATATTTATATTTGTCCATTTACTCAAACTCGATCTTATAACTTCTCCTCTATTACTACTCATATATTTTTATAAAATAAAACTTAATCCAAGTATTTTTGCAGTATCTTTGGCCACTTTTGCAATAGAACCTAGTCTTCCTTAATAAAAAGCATAATTTCTAACCTCAAATGAATTCGAATCTTTAAAGGATCTAATCAGCTTAGGAAACGAATTCATCAACTAATATAGATAATTAAATTTCGATATATCTTTTCGAATTATTTGGGAAAGCTTTACAAATATTATTTGAATGTTTTAATTTAATTAGTAGTCTTAATATTGGGTTCAGTAGCAAAATAAACTTTTATGCTAATTCCAATAACAATGAATTTTTGTATATCAATAATAACTTATCTTATTTAGGAATATCAAAATAAATATTATTATCATTATTCGAAAAGTTGCATAAATGGTGCCAAACATTCCAAAGTATAGCGTTATAAGAGTAATTCTTTAGCTCTTCTCTCTAAGAATCTTCCCAAAATGATTCTTTATTGTGGTTGATGCAACTTATACATTCTTGTAAATAAATCTCTTTCAGATGCATCATAATTATGGCTGCGAATGAGCATCAACTTTAAATCGATTTCTCTTAGTTTCCAAAGTTCAATTTCTTTAAAATACTAAACATCATTTTTTGCCAAATATTCTTCTAAACCTTATAAGAGTTATAGTTCTTCACATATAATGACAAATCTCTAAAACGAAATGTACTGAACTTATTATTGTTCTATATCACATTCATTATTAAACATATTAATGATATATTATTCTTCTTTTTTATTTTCTATTTCAAGCATGAGTAATCTAAATTGATACAGAGTTAAGCGTTCTCCATCTTCAGCAAAGATTTATAGAATCATAGAATATTTATATAATAGTTCTTGTATTTTGGTATCTTAGATTGGTCCCAAATGATGTGATATTTCAGCATCATAATCTACATATTGAGATGATTTCTGAATATTCTGGATATTTTTGATTTGATCTGCAAGTTATGATTAAATGACTTAAATCCCAGTTTCTGTGAAATTGACAGATTGTAAGCTACTCAAAATTTATAAATAGATTTAAAAACTTAACTAGATTAAATTATTAATAATACATCCCCAATCAACATGGAATGAAATAATTTGGCAGTGTCATTCTTCCTCTTATAATATATGAGTGATTTAATGACTCTGGCCATTTTTCCTAACCATACATTTTAAGGTTGAGATTAATTTTCAGTTGAAAAGTATTCATATAATTAAACATGTAATGGATAATTGAATTTATTGAATTTCAAACACCATTATATGAAATTGGATAAGATTTTGATTAATGTGTTTTATGTGACGACATTATCTATTTTATCACGTCTAAATTATTATATCTCTTGAATTAAGGTTTATGTGGCTAATTAAGTATTCTTACTAGTACATCTACTCACAAATAGTTTTTTTTCAATAGATAATAAATTCTTGATTGGATTCAAACATTCAGATAAATCAACTTCATCTTCAGATGATGTTTATGAATCTTCAAATTTATTATCTTAAAAAACTATTTATAAATATAATCATAATTATACAATTAAGTGCTACAATAGGTTTAGATGGTGACATAGCTTCTGGATCAGGAGAATCACAACTTAATTCTGCCATTGAAATTCGTTAAGGGAGACTACTATCTTGAAATGGTTCAAGTGGTGTCATTGGTGGAAAGAATCCAATAGAATTTTTAGGATTTATCTATAATGTTGGTTATGAGGAGAGTGGTTATAAAAGTGATGCAGAACTATTATTAAAATTTTAAGGAATTGGTGGATTCAAATTATTTGTACTTATCAACATCGGAGTTGGTGATATACCTTTTGGGAATTCAAAATTAATTTTATGACGAATTGCCTTTCTTCTAATTTGATCTTATTAATATTAAGGTAAGAATCGAGATACTGATTTGAGTTATTTAGTTATAAAATTAGAATGTTTTACTTATTATTAAAATTTAGCTGCTAAAAGATCAAATTTCTTTTAGGTTTATATTTTCTATCTATTTGCTTATTTACAATCTATCTAAGTTTCATAGATTTATATTTTTCGAAATATTAATTCTTCCTTTAATTTTTTAATAATATCCTAAAAATCATTAACCAAAATTAAAAAGACTGAATATGAATTCTGAAAATACTTATCAACTTCACGAAAATCTTCTTAGAAAAACTCCTCCTTCATTGACATAATCTTAAATATTTATAGAGATCGAGATTTCAATTTTTCTAAGATACTTTCCAATACATTAGGAAATGTCTTTTTCTCAATCTCCACTCGTTCAATATACAATTAATAGTAATCATCAATAAATGCTTTAATTGGAAATTTAGACATCTCCAAATATGTTTATTCTTCTTGATTCCTAGGTATACATTCCCTCTTTATTACAGCATAATTAGCTTCACAAGCTTAATTATTACTCTAAATTGCCATAGTTTAATTTGCAATATCATATGTTCTTCTCTTTTAATTCATAGTCTAAGTAAACATTTCTTATTTTATTATCAAACTTTTATATATTTTATATATTACTCGCTTGTATCTACTTCCATCTCACTGAACTCAACGTTATTTCCTACACATTTATCTTTAAATAAGATTTCTTCATATTCCTCTATTAAATTCTCATCTTTCTCAGCTTTATCATCTGAAACCCTCTCCAAATTCTACATTTTGTTTTGGTAAGCTTCCTCAAATTTTCTAGTCTGTTCTTCAAATACTAACTTAAAATCATCAAAGATCTCCTTCTTAGCTTTATATAATTCTTCTTCAAAATCAACTATAGCATACTCATTCTAATGTCTCACTTATTAAAACAATTTTAATGTTTCATTCTCTTTACTTAAATCCTATAATTACAATTTCAACAATTCTATATCATTATTCTAACTACTTAATTCTCTCTACAATTTACAAGTCTTCTTTCTTAAATAACGATTCTCCTTATTCATTTTCTCACCATACTCACTATTTCTCTTCAATTATTTCTCAGCCTCATTTAATCTTTATAATTTCTCACTCATCTAATTCTAATATCGTTCATGAATCTTTATCGTATTTGTTAAACATTCCTTCTCCAACTTTCTATTAGTTATAGATTACTTGTCTATTATCTCTTTCACTATCCCAGTAAATTATGTCCATATTTTATCAATTAATTAAGAATAGTCATTACATTTTACTGAAAGTTGTTGACATAGTTACCCTATTGATCCAGAATATATAAGCACTATCTTCTCATAGAACTCTGTTATACAGTAGAAATTCTGTTACTAAATCTATTAAACCATTGACTATTATCTATTAATACATAAATTACATCTATCCACTATTATAATAATTACAAATCCTTTCTTTCACTTTATTCATTTGTTATTTTCTGTAATGTTCTCATAGTCCTATTACTCGTGCCAATATTTGCTCTACTCATCAATTAACGCATCTCAAAAACCTTTTCATTAATTTTTTGTAATCACTTACTGTACCATCTTCTCCTTAAATTGTCTTATTTATTTATTGAATTGATGGAAATTTTAGAGGCGATAATCGTTCATCAGTTAGAGTATGCATTCTTGTATGGTTTACCTTTTTCATAGCTATTTTATTTATTATTAATTTATATGATAATTTAGGTATCCAATTATTACCTCTCTTCCTATTATTAATTTTTATTCAAAATAATGTACTAATACTAAAAACTGTATATAATTTCTTTCAATCTTTGGAATCTAGATCAAGTAATATTCAATTTGATCATATTATTTTATTTCATATAATTATATTAAGAATATACATTAATTCAATAATATTTCACTTTAATCATACATACTACTTATTTTACTTAAATCCATGAAAATCTAATTAAACTTTATAATTAATTCTATTCAAAATTAATTGCCACATATTAAATCTTATATTTATCAATATTTTCTATTTAAATATAACTTAGAAATATTTTTATTAAATAATAATTTTACAATTTAAAGCATTGTATCAATCCATTCTTAATTTATTTCAATAAGAATTTATATTATTCATGATTATCATTTTTTTATCATTTCTAAAAAATCTGAAATCTTAATGTTTTTTCAAAAAACTAAAGTTTATAAATATTTATATTTAAATTTGATTTAAGTTTCTCAAATACATTTGTCATTCTTTCTCTCTTCATTTAAATTTTTAAGAATTAAATTTTTGTTATAAGAGTTCTAACTAATTTAATATATCATCAATGAGTTTCAATAGATTGAATTAATTTCTTTATTATGAATATTTTCATACCTAGAAGGGATTGCAACAACAAGGATAGATAATATTTATATCTATCAAATAAAGATCTTCATACTTATTTCACCTATTATATTTAATATTTTTTTGCTCAGATTTTTGTAATTAAGTTTCATGAAAAATTCTCCCCTCCAGAATCTAAAAAGCTTAAAAAAAACAAAGTTAATTTAAATTTATATTCACCAAGTATCTAAGAATGATGAGTGAAAAAATTTTAAGTTAGCTTTTACATTTTTAAAAGGAAACAATTTCATGACCAAATCTGAAACAGATAATTTTGAAAATATCAATAATTATTAAAATTTATTTTAATAGAAAATATAAAAATTAAATGTCTCATTAAGCAAGTTTAAGACAAAAGGAAATTATTCAGTATGAATTTAATAGAATTTTCTAAGAGTAAAATAGTGAGGCTTCTCTTAATTTTCCTTAGGTAGCTAAATTATTGATTGAAAAAAACAATAAAAAAATTTTCGAAAAGATAAATAAATTTATCTCGAAATAATCATATTAGAAGAATGAATTCGAAGATCTAAAAATTGAATTTACTAGATAGGAAGTATTTACCGTTTTATTAATGATGTATTTAAATGCTTTTGAAAAATAAAATAATTGTGATAATCGATCAGGGTTTAATTAAATTAATATGGAAAGAATAAAATAGAGTAATACAATATAGGCTTAATAGAAACTTAAGTGTATACATTAATATTTTGTTAACTTTTATGAGCAAGTTTTGAATGATGAAATAAAATTGGAATCAATTTAAACAAAAATATAATAATTAGAATATGAAAGAGAAGAATTAGATAAAAGAATAAAATAATTAAAGGATTGTTAGAATGATATTAGAAATAGCATGAATTAGAAAAAAATTAAAGAAGATGAAATAATTGAATTTATTAGAAGAGTTGACTAACGAGAATTCGATTATAAATTTACTGGTGATTCATGTTAAATGTATTTAAATTAAGGAAAATGTGAAGATTTTTAAAATTCAATTCTTGTAAATTTTGCTGACAAAAATGTGGGTGGTTTGAGTTTAGATGATAAAAATATAGCTTAGGAAGAAGTAAATAATAAATTTATTTAGATTTTAATGCTAACTCATCCTGAAGCTATAATTAGTATGTTATTTATGAAACCTATGGCTAAGGATGAAGCTGTTTTGATTAAAAATGTTATAAGATTTAATGATTATATTGGATATGAATCAACTTTTCGATATAAAGCTGAGAAATATTTTGATTCATAAATAATCGAGAACAATAAGGAACCTATAAAAAATGATATTTTAGTATAAATATTTATTTAAAATTAGTGTATGGATGCATTATATTATAGTGATTGGATATCATAATTTGAAGATAAATTTATTAAAAGAGAATTAAAAAAAAGTTATATTGCATTTTCCTTAGCTATTGATTAATCAGAAAAGGAAAGTATTTCAACTGGTAAATGGGGTTGCGGTATTTTTAATGGAGATTCTGAATTGAAGTTTTTAATATAATGGCTAACTTTTTCAAAAGCATTATAGAAGAATCTCTAAAAAAATAAAGAAATATAAGACAATTTTAATAATCAATAAAATCTAAATCAAAACACCTAAGAATTTTTAAAAGGAATGTAAAAATAAGATTACTAATAATAATCACGAATTCATTAATAATATTCAGAAAATTAGAATAGGAGAGACTAAAATACATAAAATTAATTACAATTAGATTAATAATAGTCAGACAATTAGAATAATAGATTTTTATATTTTAGCACGTTTGGTGATGAAGGATGTGAGCGTTTAATTCGTAGATACTTAAATAAAAGAGAATAATTAGAAAATATTAATTAATTTATCATAAATCTGTAAAAAGATTGTAAGAATATGAAGTATTGATATTGATGTGTTAAGAAAATGATATATAATACATTATTGGTAATTAAAATAAACACAGTAATTATTTATTGATATATATGTATTATATATAAATTTAGTTATAAAAGGTAAATAATTAAATAATTACATAATATTTGCAAGTATTAAAAATAAATAAAAATGTTTGATGGTTATTGTAGGTAAATAATGTAACCCAAGCGTGTTGTGTATAATAAGTCAGATTTAGATTGTGGTTATCCAAGATAAGATTTCTAATTGGAAGGATTATAATGTTCTCTATATAAATGCAATAAATATACACAATAATGTATATTATATTTGCATGGTTATAATGGATCAAGATTAGAGGGTGTTTAATATGTTCCATATGTATGCAAAGGAGATTTTGATTTTTGTTCATTTGATTTTTAGGGAGCTGGATAATCAGAGGGAGAATATGTAACTTTTGGGTAATAAGTTATTTTGATGAAGTTTAAAAGAGGTTGAGAATACAGCATTAGTCATAAAATATTTAAAATAGAAATATTTTCATATAATATTATGGGGAAGATCAATGGGAGCATCTACAGCCTTGATGTATACTCAAAATAATACAAATATAAAATGTTTAATTTTGGATAGTCCATTTTTGATTTTGGAAGATGTAGTATTAAATTTAATAAAATTAAAACTTCATACTCCAGATATAATAAATAAAGGATTGTATGAATTGATAAGAAGTATAAAATATCTGAATTATAGGATGCATTGCTAAATTGTTCCATTTTTAAATAAATAAAGTCTAGTTACCTTTAAATTTAAATATTACTTGTCCAATGTTATTGTTAGCATCGAAACAAGACAATTTAATTCCTTAATATCATTTTGATACAATATTCAAAGGATATCTTGGAAATAAGAGAATGGTTACATTATAAAGTAATCATAATGAATAAAGATCAACTGAAATAATAAGAACTATTATGACATTTATTTAATCGATGACACCTCAAAGTCGATTCAGTCCAACTAAGTATCCTGAACGTCTTTTAGGAGACATAGATGAATAAAAATATATTGCCACTGGAATTAAAATCAAATAGAAAATTATGAGAAATTAATCAACTTCTACTCATAATAAAAATTCAGCTAAAATTTAGAAAGATAAAGCTTTGATTTAATTGTCAAATCTAAAATGATTTTATAAAGACTAAATTACTTCTATCTTAGAATAATCATTTCTTAAATAAATAATAAAATCAATTCATCGTTTTATTTTTTGAAGTACTCTTTCAATAGTTTAAGATAATTAAAAAAGTTGACTAACATAATTCCCTGATAATTATCTTATTTCATCTTATTATGAACAATCTAATTGTCTCGATATCTCTAATAACTCAGAAATGGGAATTGATGCATCTAATCTTCTGGATAAAGTTCTATTAGTATTAGATTTAGGAATCTCTTTAGATTAAGTCTATGTAGAAGTGAATTACCAACTTCCTATTCTTCCCAGTGATTGATTTTGTTTTCTAAAAGAGGTTAATAAGTCTTCATTTGTTGTATGAAATCTACTTGGATTGTTACTTAAATTAATTCAATTAATTACCCATCTTATATACCAAATATTTTACTTGGTGAAGCTAAATTAGGATTGTGGTCTTATTTGCTTTTGTTTATTATAGCATGATGAAATCGATTATCTGATTTATTATCTATTTATTCAGTTCATTCTGTAGGATACCTAAAAAATGAGTAAAAAATCATTAACTACCTTCTTAATTCTTTTTTTAAATTATTATTATCTTAGACTATAGAATTGTTTTTATTATGAGTATTAAAAGCTGAAGAAGAATTCAAAAAAGTTGTACGTTTTATAATTTGAGATTTTTATCCACTATATTACATTGTCAAATATAAAGGTTATTAAAATAATATTAAACTGGGAACATAATTTATATTTCACAATTTATCAATAACAAATTTGTTTAGCAATGCATTTCTAAATGAATTATAGACTACTTCATGTTATTCCTTTGACAATTGAGAATACATACTACTTAGATCATCTTACATGGAGAGATACAACATAGTAATTTTCTCAATTAAAATTGAATTCTATTGACTTTCAATTTAAAAATGTTATGATCTAAATAATTTAGGATTCTAATGACAGATTTGTTCAAATTATTCTAAATCAAATGTTTCATCTTCTGATTCAATAAACACTATCATGTTTCTATTTGGTTTACAATGAGTTGTTATTAATTCAGCAATCTTTAATTAATCTTTAGCATTGCTCAACTTTGTCTTTGTCTTTCCCAAAACCAAAAAATATTTAAATTCTGAATTACAAATACAATTAAATTAAAATTAACCCTTAACAAAATAAATACATCTACCATCCAAGTATTACTCATAAACATTTTATTTAACTTATGGACAATCAAAAAATTCTTAAGGACTCCTATACATAAATGTATCTGACTCTGGTATTACTGTAGATAATAATTCTAAATAATCAATTTGTTTCCATTGAATAATATCGAAAAGATCAAGCAATCTCACTATTACCTCATTGATATCATATGATTATGATTAACAATCAAGGAGTAAATTTAAATTTTTATAAGGAATCCACTTAAATGTTAATGTAGAAAGAGGATATACACAATTTAACATTTTCATCATGTTTACAAAAAGGTCATGTTATTAATTTATATTGCCTAATTGTGAAAACTTGAAAATGTAAGTGATTTATGATTGATTTATACATAAGTCTTCCTTTTTTTAATTAACTTAACTAAATTTATTACTGAATAAAAAATGAACTTAATTTTCAGTCTAATGGATAATAAACATATCATATAGTTTTAGTAATTCCAAGAGTCTAGAATTATCATGTTTCACATTATCCAAAACCTTAATCACTTTAAAATACTTTTCAGAAATAATCCATTATCTTAGACACTTGATTAGTGTTTCAGATTGTTATTCCTACAATTACTTTAAAGACATATCAATCATTTCAATCTCGGTTTCTAGTTTAATAAATTTATTTGACTTGACACTGAGTTGTTCTTAAAGATGATGATGAATTGTTTAAAAGATACAGGATTCAAAAATTTATTATTTAAACATTATTAATTTGTTTATAATTATCATTCATAAATTAACTTTAGAGTTTAATATGAACCTGATTTCTATCTATATATTACTATATATTCTCCATCATTAGTAATGCCTGCAAAATTTAACTCATCATTTGGACATTCAATAGGTTCAGTCGCTAGAATAAATTGCCCATTTCTTTATCTTCTCAATATATAGATATAAAATTTATGTTTCACTATGAAGATCTATTACTTTTTAATATAAACTATTGGAAAGTAGTACATGTTAGAAGATTTCTCTTATTTCTTCAAGATGAAATTCTTTTCTTAGTTTTCTCTAAACTCATTATTTTAAAGTTCAAACATACAAACAATTTCTTTACAATCCCTAGGAATCCAAATAAATTCTGTATCTGAAACAAATGATACTCGATAACCAAAATCATCCAAAGTTTATTGAACAAATTATTAAAAAGTCCAGAGTTTATTTCGTTCTTTTTTCCAAAGTATAATATTTTTATCCCTACTGCATGAAACCAAAAAGGATTCTGATTAATTCATACTCAAACCATAAATTACATCTTTGTGCTTTTGTAAAGAGTATCTATATTTGAGGGCATTTTATTTCAAACTCCAAGCTTTAATAGATGAATCACTTCCTCCAGATAATAAAACATCTTCTTTCTCATCTAATAATAAACAATATATTTCTGATGAATTATCTTAATCAGTTTCTATTTATTGCCATTCATTTTCAGAAATATACTTCCACAATATAATTCTTTTATCATTTGAACCAGATATAAAGTTATTTGTATATTTACTAAATTGCAAACAAGTAATTTTATCTTTATGTCCTATCAATTCTTTTTAGAAGTTCAAATTCCCATTTTCAAAATTCCATAATTTTATTTTTTCATTAAAACCTGATAACATTAAAGATCTATCTTTATTAAATGATATTGCAAAACAGCATTCTTTTTATTTTTCTTATTTACCAACAATTTATTATTTTATTTAACTATTAATTAAATCATCCTAATGATGTTAATATCCTTCTTTATTTTTTTTTTCCAGATCCCACAGATTAATAAAATCTTCATTTAAATTTAAAACTTCTTAGCCAATAGAATTTATCTTCTCCTTCAATAATTGGTCTTACTCATTATTATTATATTTTAAGAGTTAATTCATTTTATCAATTTAGCATTCATAAAAGCACCTATTCATTTATTTAAAAGATGCTATCTATTATGTTATTTAATCAAAAAGTAGATTTGATAATGATTTATATTTGCATTCAATAAATTGTTAATAATTTTTTTATAAATCTTGGAATATTTAAAATTTTTCTTGAAATGTTTAATAGATATTTTCAGTGATTATTTGTTTTTCTTGAAGAACTTAGGAATCATAAGTTTTCCATTCAGTAATAAATTCATCAAGACACTTCCCTTCTCTATTTTTGCAGGAAGAACAATAAAGATTGAGATTTTCTTTTTAATGAATAAAAAGGATAGGTTTATTTTCATGTAATTTACATATTGCTTTGATTCTAAAACTTTTCTTATAATAGAGATAATAAATTTACTTCTTGTTACTTAAGCATAACAGATAAAAGTTGTTCATCTGGTCTAACTTATTGGATAAGTGTTAATTTGAGAGTTTCAAATAAAGTGATTTAGGAGTCAGCAACAACATTAGAATTGAAAAGGGTAAAGAGTTTATCATTAATTTTTTAATAATGAGAAATATTAGTATGTTTAAGTTGTTCAATTAAGTTTAAAAATTGTACTGATGTATCTAGATCTTGTGTGTCAACAAGATTATTTAGATGGGATTCCAATTTATATTAAGAGAGGGAATTATTAAAAGTTTACAATGATTATTACCATAAATTGAGAGCTGAGGTGATAGTATCAATATTATTATTGAATGAAGTTTTGATGTCAATAATATAAATATTAAATTTATCTAAGGCATTAAGAATGGGTAATATTTTATTATGAATGACATTTTGTAACATTTCTTAATTTTAATGTATAAGTATTTTAGCTTAAGTGAGTGAAATATAATTAAGATTTCTATCATAAAATTGCCAACACTAATTGCAAATCAATCTCTTATCTTTTGGTAGAGATTTCTCAAGTAGGAATATGTCAGCTTTTTAATTATCATGAACATGTTCATGTGAACATTTAAATTCTTATTCTATCATCTTATATATATTTATTAGTAATATTAATAAATAATTATATAATAATTAGATTTATCAAAAATAATTATTAATAATTTAATGAAGAAATCGATAATTAGATAACTTAATTCTCCATCTGTGTCACATTATAGATCATAGACAAGTGGTTCTGGTTTATTTGATTAATCACGTATATTGGAAGAGACAACAGAGAAATTTTAGAGATCATGGATGATTCTTGAAAGTGTGTAAGAATCGAAAAGTCTACGTTATGCATTGAAATAAACAACAACTGAACCAAATATACATCCAGAATGTTAATTAGGTGGTACAATTATTTCTGGAAAGATGTATAAAGTAACTCCAATGGAATTTTATTATTGTAATATTCCTACAAAAGGTGAAAAATCTCCTTTGAATTGTACAGTTTATTGTGATGGAGAATTTTAGATTATAATATCTTTTAATTCTCCATTTCCAACAAAATTTAATTGTGATTAAGTAATAAGGAATAGAACTTGGACTGTAAGACATAATGGAGAAGATAAATTAAATTTAGCATTTGTAGCTCGTAAATAAACTGATATTAAATTTATGATTTATTATGGTTAAACAGATTCTTTTAAGAAATTGATAAGGATTTAAAGTAATCATGAAAGAATATAAATGAGTGATGAGATTCCACGTATGCCTTAATTTATTGTAAATTAGAATAAGATAGAAGCATTTAAGAAAGTAAATAAGTATGAAATGGAAATTACTCGTTCTGGTCGTTTTATGTAAGTATTAAAAACTAGAAATCTATAAAAGAAAGCGATAGTGTAGGCAAGCAAATAAAAGAATTTAGATTTTTAAGCTAAAGAATGGGCACACGAGGAATTGAAACTCATTACTTTAACATTGAGAAATATGAAGAGAAGAGGAGAATAAACATTGTTATGGAATGAATTACTTTAATATTTGAGATTGATAGATAATTTATATCGTATTTTATAATAGAGGAGAAAATAGTTATAGAAAAATAATATGATGATCATATGTATTTAATCAAGAATGTCAAAGTTTAGAGAAGAATATAAATTTAATCGTGAAGATTTGAATTAGAGAACTGCAGCATAAACAATGATGACTATAATGATGTTTTGTAAATAATGTAAGAGACGAATTAAATACAATTCATTGATTCTTGTTTTACCGACTTTGAAATGGAGAGCCTCTTTATATATGTTTAAACGAAAGGCTCTACTTACTAATTGTAAATTATAATTAATTAGAATCAATTTAAATTAATTTGTAAGAAATGTACGTGAATATAAAGCATAGATGATATAGAAATGGGATTAATATACTATGAAGATTCATCAATACTAATCTATTCACAAAGGAGATAAAAGATTCTTAACTTGGGTTAAGTTTTTATATGAAAAAGGATATTAGGTATATTTTTAGAATTTATTCATTACTCTATTGATGAGAGATAGATATCGATCTCATATTAAAGAGTAAAGAGAAATAAAGAAATATCGATAGGAAATGAAAACTGCCAAGTTGCAATTGAAATTTGCAAGAGATACTGTAGATATTATGACTTTACGTTAAAGGATTTTTAAATTAAGTAATGACATTTATGCAATGTAACTAAAGAATCAATTTTTTATACATTCTGATGTGGAGAGATTCGTATCTTCTATTATTGAATAGAGTTCTTTCATCTTTTTAGATGATGATAATAATCCTAATAGTTAAGAAAAGTCATCTCGTCTTCGTGTTAGTTTGAAGAAATAAAAAACACTTCGTATCTCTAGAAAATCTTGAAAAATCAATGAATTATAAAAATATTTCAATTTTTGTCATAATTAAAAAAATGTATTAAGCAGAAACAAAATAATAAAGAAGATTAACATTTTGGAAATGTATGGGAGTTACAACATTTTCATACGCTGTAAGTAAAACTGCAACAGCTCCTTTAGAAAGAATAAAATTAATATTGTAAGTGAGTCCAATATTAAAATGTGAAGATAAGATTGATAAAACATGGTCAGGAATCAAATAAATATACAAAACATAAGGATTATATTCTTTTTGGAGAGGGAATAGCCTAAATGTAATAAAGACTATTCCTAATTCTGCAATACGTTTTACTGTATATGATAAATTGAAATAATATGTATTTGAGAATGGATAGAATGAAAATGTAAGAATAATCATATTAAAAAATAGTATATTAGACAATTTACAAATAGATTAATGTTAGGATTTAGTACAGGTTTATTGAATCAAATAATCAATTATCCTCTTGAAGTTCTGCGTATAAAATTAACAGTGGATATGAGTCATTTTAATAAAGCTCGTATGTATTCTGGTATTTTTGATTGTTTGAAGAAGACTCTAAAAACATAAGGATTCTGTGCATTATATTAAGGATTTGTAATATCTTCTTGTGTAACAATACCATACTTAGGAATAAGTTTTGTTGCACATGATTAATTAAAGGATCTAATACCTTTACAAAATAATTCAGATTAGATTTGGATTTAATTATCGCAATTTATTGGAATCGGATCTCTTTCAACAATCATAGCCACAGCTTTAACTTATCCAATAGATACCATACGTAGAAGAATTTAAATTAATGGATCCTTAGGAGTATAGAGAGCTTATATATCGTTTTCTGATTGCGTTAAGAAAATGAGGAAAGAAGGATTATTATCTTATTATAGAGGATATTGGATTTCATTAATTAGAATAATACCAGCTGCTTCTATTCAATTTGCATGTTTTGATTATCTAAAAGAATTATCAACTTGAGTTTTGTTTAATTGTTTATTTATAATTGTAAACACACATCAAATGTCATCTTCATCCTCACTTGATAATTTTCTTCTCTTAAACTATTTTATTTATTAATATGTATATAATTACAGTCACTTTTGTTTCTTACTTTTTCTATCCTTCAGCTGCTTCTAGTAATTTTATTAATTCATCCTCTGATAGTTAATTTGTTATCTTTCCTTACTTTGCCCATTAACATAATTAAACTTCTATCAATTCTGCCTTCTCTGGTTTCACTAATTTGATATTTGCCACTATTAATTAAACATTTTATTAACATACATCTTTACTTTGCTTCAGGTGTTAAAATCTAAGTCAAAATAGATTTCTTCACTTCTTCCATTTACTCCTTCTATGCTTATTATTACTTTAGTTATTCTAATTATTTCTGATCCAATTAATCCATTAATTTTATTTAATATTTATTAATATTATTATATTCTCAATCTAATAATCCATTATCTATTGTCTTATTCTATCTAATTCACTCCTATGTTTAACTTTTTTCACAATATTATTTTTAATATTATTTTTGTGTTTAAATATTAATTAAAATGGCAACAACCATGTTTTAATAAAATGAAGCCAATTTCAAAAATAAAGTTGATGAATTCAATAATCTTTATAAATAATATGCACTTACACAAACTAAACAATTAGTTTTTGAGAAAATGAAACTTGTTTTTGTTTAAGCTGAACAATAAGTAATTTTATTATCAATATAAATTTTCAAGTTCAAATTCATGGAAATCGAATTTGGATCTTTTACAGATCTTCATTAAAAAGACTTTTCTTTAAATATGAAATCAAACAAATTATTATACGTTGAATGTTAAAAGAAACTAAAAGATTTATAATTTGATCTTGATAAACTACCCTTCTCTAATTCTAGTAGTGGCAATAAAAAATAAAACACTTCACAAATAATTGGACTTAATTCAGATCTACATGTTTAAACTAAATAATTAGAAACATTAGATTCTCGTCTATTAGAAGCAGAAGATACACAATTATCTATTTTAGATAATTTACGTAATCAAAAAGAAAAATTACTCAAAGCTATTGAAGATGTATTTCATTCTACTTAATCTTACAGACTAAAGAAATCTAAGTTGGAGTCAATATGACTTAAAGACATGCCACCATGATCAAGAATCGTCAATCCTATAACAAAGGTATACTCCTATCCTTAATATGCATCTTAACCATTGGAAACATACTTATTTTATATTACAAATTTATTAGTTGAATAAACTATTTATATAATTTATAACATTATTATTAATAATATATTTTCAAGTCATTATTAATTATTTTATTTCATTCATCCTATAACACTTGACAACATTTCGTACATCCAATATCCTCTTACATAACATCTATTCAATTTAAATTAATTCTTTCATTTTTTATATTACCTACACTTAGAATCCATTATATATTGTTCAGTTATTTAGATAAATTACAAATTAAACCATATTCATCAATCTATCAAAAATGTAATCCATAACAATTTATATCCTCTATTCAAATTGGATTACATCTAAAGTTTTCCATCTACCAACTACACCATTTGTCTTACTTAAAAATGTATATTTTTTCAATCCAAACAGCGATTTTTATCCAAAATTATTACTTATTATTATCTAATGAATATAGATAAGTGTGTATCACTACTTCCTGAAATGAGTTAATCCTCTCTCTTAACTTATTTAAAAAGCAAAAAGATCAGTTAATTAAAATATTTTTGTTCCTTAAACATTCTTCACACACTCCGTTATAGTATTAGTTTAACAAACTATCCATTTGAACATAAAAACCTTCAATTCCAATCTTATTTACCTGAATTAGTCGTAAAATATTTATATAACCTTTTTAGAAATAAATAAAATTATTATTGATTCCTAAATCATTCTTATATTTTATATTTTTATAGCATTAAAAATCAATCCAAAATTTATTTTTTACTTCATGCTTAAATTTTAAATTCCATATCATTATATATACTTATATATTTACAACAATAAAAAGTAGATCCCATCTATATGTCTAAACAAATTATTTCTTCATTTATTTTTAAATTCTCTCTTACTCACAATTTCTAATTTTTTTACTTCATTACTATCTATTTTAAAATGATGATTTCTAAAAGAAATTTTTTATCATATACTTAATTATCAATATCTTTTTTAAATTTAGAAATTATTCATCGATATTTATGATATCCATAAGAATTACTTAAATGATGGAACATTATATCTAAATTGATTATTTTTATATTCCATATATATAGGTTAAAATATAAAAAGTTTGATTTGTTATACATTTTTTTAATTTCTTTGGGTGAATATTATTATTTTTTGCCCACCTTTGACTTTTTTATATTAAAATAAAAATTTTAAATTAAACTGTGCTGCTTAGCATAATAACAATCTGAATTTTGATCTATTATCTGTATCAGAGAATTATTGGATAAAGTATTTATAAAAATGTGTAATTAAAGAGAACTAAATTATTACATTTTTATAATATAATATAAATTAGTAATTAAATAAAATATATTTTATATTTAAATATATATATAATGATAATTTATAATGGCATATATTCAATGAAAATGTAATTTGTAGATAACAACTTAGGTATGATTTTAGTTTGGAACTCTTGAATTAATAACAACATATTTTCCATTATTAGTAAATACTCCATAAAACTCAGGGTTATCTGATATTTAAACATTTGATATTTGAGTAATATTACTATTGATTTCTTATTTGAATGAATAAATTGATTTTTTATGTTTGACAAAAAAGACTTATAGTTTAGTATTATGCATGATAGGAAAGAAATCCTTATCTTCATTATCTTCTTCACTTAGATTGATTTATTTACTCAATTTTTCTATAAATAAGTCATTTTCAAGTTCAAAAACAGAGATGGATCCATTATAACCTTTATTTATCCAAACAAATTATGAATCATTTAAAAATTAAATCCTATATCCAAAATCTTAAATAGATNATAATGATAATTTATAATGGCATATATTCAATGAAAATGTAATTTGTAGATAACAACTTAGGTATGATTTTAGTTTGGAACTCTTGAATTAATAACAACATATTTTCCATTATTAGTAAATACTCCATAAAACTCAGGGTTATCTGATATTTAAACATTTGATATTTGAGTAATATTACTATTGATTTCTTATTTGAATGAATAAATTGATTTTTTATGTTTGACAAAAAAGACTTATAGTTTAGTATTATGCATGATAGGAAAGAAATCCTTATCTTCATTATCTTCTTCACTTAGATTGATTTATTTACTCAATTTTTCTATAAATAAGTCATTTTCAAGTTCAAAAACAGAGATGGATCCATTATAACCTTTATTTATCCAAACAAATTATGAATCATTTAAAAATTAAATCCTATATCCAAAATCTTAAATAGATTATTTAATTTTCTATTTGAAATTCCATAGATTGTTTTTTCCTTTATGCCAAAGATTAATTTATAAATCTTATCCACAAGAAACTAATAATTATTCTGAAGGATTTAGACTCAATCCTAAAACTAAATTTGTATGATATTCTAAAGCTTGTGCTTATGATAAGGTTTTTGAAGGAAAATCTAATCTCCAAATTCTAATTGTTTTATCATAACTTCCAGAAAATAAGAAATTTTCATCTTTACTTAGAATAATGCAACTAATAAAATCTGTATGTTCTTAAAAAGATTATGAACATTCCCATATTAATAGACTCTTTTCTTTCCATAATTTAATAGTAAAGTCCATGGAACCTGAAACAAAAGAATTTGAATATTAACTAAATAACAAACATGAGATATTATCATCATGACCTTCAAATTTATCAATCTCTGTTAATTATCCATCACTAAATAACCATACTTTGATTTCAGATCCAAATCCAGAAATCATTATATTATCTTCTCTATTAAAAGCAACTGCAAAACATTATTAATTAACACTTTCTTATTCAATATAATTTTTACTCTTTTTAGGAATATTCTATATCTTCTCAAATGTTATTGATTTTATATTTTAATGATTCTCCTCATTCTAATCAAATTTATTCAATATCTAATTAATTTAAGATATCAAAAGACAATTATTGTCTTTATAATTTTAATTACATTAAACTTTCCTCTCACTTACACTCAACTTTTCAGCAATCTAATTAAATTTCTAATGATTTAATAGATAATTTAACTCTTAAATACTTTTACATTATGTATCGTAATTAATCTTTAGTTATTCATTATTTTGATGCAATTTTTCATCAATAGCCTTATTTATATCTTTTCTTATTATCTTTAATTTTTTGTTTTCATCTTCTACATGTTTTTTGAAATTTTAAAATTCATTCTAAAATTGTCCTTTACATTCTTAATTATAACTCTACCATTTTTGAATGAATTCTTGAACAGTATCCCCATTTCTTCTATTACATTTAAAACAAGAAGTTCTTGACTCAATATTCACATCCTTACTTGAATCTACAAATATAATTTCTTAATTATGAATTTCACAAATAGGTTTAACAAAATTCTTTATATTACATAAATTGTATACCTTAGAATTGTTTTGAATAATGGAACCATTCTCTACCATTTTCTCTAAATCCATCCACTATAATTCAAGTAAACTTTATTAACAGCTTTCATATTTGCTCAAACACTTAAGAGACGTCAATTAGAGTTAAATCTTTTTTGAAAAATCATAATTCAATTCATTAATCTAACCAGTTAATTCTAAAAGACTATCCAATTTACTTTCATTTTAAAAATATCTCTCCACCTCAGAATAAATACTATATATAGAATTCTGTTATTCTAATTCTATTAAAGATTCATGCCATATTTTTATTTTCTCTTCACAATCTTTCAATGTAGAAATCATACTAGTCTTAATAGTATCTATTTATTCTTTAATTTTCTCAATCAAAACTACATTCTTTAATATTATCATATTTAAATTTTAAGAAAAAGAATTTTGCTATTCTTTTATATTATCCATCAAAGAACTAAAAGGAATAGTATGTAAACCAATTTAAATACCTTTCCAACATATATCACATAAAAATCTGTCCTCTATTTTATAATTTTATTCAGTAATCACTATTGTGATTGGTTAGTTGTGATTATTCTTCTTACAATACAATTATTTTTCATTTTCTAACATTTTTGACTTAATTTGCTACATTATTGATAAATAAAATGTTTAATTCAATAATATAGTTATTTTTATTATTAAATTCTAAAAAAAATATATTTATTAATAAATTATAAATAATCTCAATAAAAATCATTCTATTCATCCAAAAAATCCTCTATTTATAAGACTCTTTCCTCTCTACCTAACTTCTAAGTATTTGATTTCTTAACATGCTTTAATTTATTACTATTAACATTTATCTTATTCTTAGTTCATTTTATTATTTGATAGTAATATTTTCCAATAAACCTTTTATTTATTAATTTAAAGTAGTCTCCTAAGTGAAACATCCCTTGATTTAGCAACTTAATTTTTATTTGTAATATTGACTTTTCACTGATGATCTATCTTTTTAGATAAGGTAGATTTATTTTCTTACATATATTTATTTTTTTGAATAAAAGACTCATCTAATATTTAATATTTTATTTAATTTATACTAAGATTTTTAGAAGAGTGTTTCTCAATTATTTTTAAATTTTAATAACTCAGTATTATCCATTTGTAATATTATCCATTTGTAATTATTTAATTCTGATTTTGAATCTAATCATGTAATTTTGATTAGTATTTCAGATTTTGCAATTTATTTAATTTACTTTTTGAATTAAATTAAATATCGTTTAGATTCAAGTTTTCTAAGTTTGAATTCTAAATCTGAAATATTGTTTTTAAAGTTCAGTTTGCTTTATAGAATTGAACGAAATGTTATAACTAAATCTCTAGAGTATTTAGCATATTTTTTTAATTGTTTAGTAATTCATTCAAATAATTTTTTGCTTCCTATAAAATGCCAATCCTTTCATTTAATCTCTATTTAAATACTATTCATGTTTTCTTTCATTTTTTTAATATTATCATATTTTTAGTCATTTCTTCCTTAAATTCTTCTTATAAATTTTAAAGAGCCATTTATAGATCATAGATTATTTTTCTTCTTTATTTGTTAATCTTTGTAATTTTGTTAATAATTTAGCTTAAAGTTGCTAGTTATCAGAGGTGAATTCTAATAATTGAGATTAAAGTGAAGAGTTTTCATATTATAATGGATTCTTCAAAGATATAAGCAATTTGATTTGATCTATCATAATGTTAATCATTTAATGAAATGAATTCAATATGTTTATTTTCTAACATTTTAATTTTTTCATTTTATTATTCATGAATAATTTGAGAAAGATATTTTCTACAAAAAATGAGACAGCTAAATATTTTGATGAATTGATAATGATTATATCTCATTCTACATTCTCACTTTTTGATACTTGAATCTTTTTTATTAATAAAAAGTTCATTATAAGTATTAAATTGAAGTAAATTGATATAACTATGATTAATGATCAGAAGATTAGATTGATTTATTAATTAGTTATTTTGTTAATTCTTCATTTTCAGTAAGTTTAGATTCAATTTAATTCATAATGATAAAATTTGATTATATTTAAAGTTTATATATATACATTAAAATCTTGTTTTTTGATTTCCATTTTACCAAATCATTGTAATTCTATTCAATAAGTTTAATGTTCTAAGATTCAAGCATTTTAACTTATTTCATTGAGTTCTTCTTTCTAATTGAATTAGAAATTCTAAATCTTTCTGAATTATTTTCAATTGATCTTTATAATTTTATAATTCTTCAACTTTATGAGTCAGTCTATTTGTAAATCTCTTCTATAGATATTTTTTTTTAAAATTATTATCTTTAAGTGATTTTTTAATCTTAAGATATATAATAATGGTAAGATATAGGATGACATTTTTTTATTTAATAAGTGGATTAATAAAGTAGAAAGAATATAAAATTAATCAAATTCATAATTAGTTTATGAATAGATTAAAGTTTTAAAAAATACAAAATTTGAAAAATTGAAGATAAACTAAAATTAATAAGCTCTCTCATAATCTTCTCATATAATTTCAATAAAAGAAGCAATAGTTTAGAATTTTTCTTATCTACAAATTAATTTAGTATATTAGAAGTGAATTGATGTAATGGCAGTTAAATGAATTTGATATTAAAATTGATTATGTAATAAGTTTGATATTTAAATTTATTAAGATATCATAATACAGTGTATAAATAATGCTTAAGGACATTAGAATATTAATATCTCATATGACGCATTTAAAATGGTCCAATTAAATTTTACTATCTTTCCTCAGGAATTTATTATTTTAAAATACAAGAAGTTTAGAATATGACTGAGGATATTTATCCATTATTTGGATGGGATGACCCTGTTCCAAATGAGTTCAAAGAGATTTTTGAAAAGTTCACAAAGTAAGTATTGAAATGATTATTATAGTTAGTCAGACTCCAGAAAGTGTAGTAGTACATTAGAAGAATCCTTAAGTATTAGAGTTTTGTATGTTTTTAGTAGTAGATGAGGATTATGAGATAATTGGAAGGAGCCAAAATGAAAATTCAATATGTCCACTCTGTTATCAAAATGTTTAAATGGGTCATACTCAATTGTACTCCAATCTGCTTTCCTAATACTTTGATGTCCATACTTCATGTGCCCTTACTTGCAAACATAAAACAGCATAACTTGCTCTTTTAAATGATTAAATCTAACATGCATAAATAATGGAACGAGTACCAGTAGACTATGACTTATTGGATCTCAATGTTAAAGTCTTTGTAGAATTCAAAATATTCCATACTATTGCGTAATAACCCTATTTAAATCTCACACATTCAACTACACTTAAATAAAAGAAAAACACATCTATTTTAATAGATTATGCTAATTTGAGAGAATACTTTGGAAAGAGACAAAAACATCTTATTCCTTTGATGTAAGGCAGAATACAAATTGATATTCATATCATTGATACTAATCTCATGTAAGAAACAAAAAATGTTCATTCATATGAATTCTTTTATAATGCTACCAAAGTTTCTAGCAATTACATATGTATTGGTTATGATGGTATATGCATTTCTATGTAAAGAGAAGAAGAACTTAATTAATCATTTTTATGTCTACAATCACTACAAATCAACCTTTCATCTGATATTGCTAAACATCTAACCAAACATTCACCTAAATCATCTCCTATTATTGATTCATTCCTTTTTTCACCAAAAACACGTAATTTCACACCTTAAGTTGGACCTATTCAATCAAGAGTTCGTTTCTAATCATTTCAATTAGAAGAATAAACACAACCTGATGAATGGACAGAAGATCTCTAAAGTTTTGATTAAATACGTGGGAATATTGTCAATTTTGTTAAAACTTAACATGGCAGTCGATTAATCTAAAAACATTTTACTACTTGTACATAAATTGAATTAGATTAACTATTATAAGAAATTGGTCCACATATTGGTGATCTTATGATTGATCCTTATGCCAATTATATGTTTGGAAGTCTCAGTTAAAGTTGTGCTCCACATTAAAGATTATATATTTTATAAACTGTAACAATTTATATTTTATATAGATCTCTAATCATTTAGTTGATATTGCATGTGATAAAAAAGGTACTCATGCTATTTAATCTTTGGTTTCTTTGATATCATCAAAATAAGAAGAAGAAATGGTAGAAAATAGCATTAAAAATCATATCATTAATCTTACTTTGGATAGTTAGGGAACGCATCTGATTAAAAAGATTATAGCTAGATTTTCAGAAGATCGTTTAAATTTAATATTTTGCAAATTAATGGACAGATTCATTTAAGTTGTTAATCATCAATTTGGACTTTGTGTTTTAAAAGATCTTATTACAAAATTCAAAAATAATTAAGAGAAATGCAATTATATTTTAATTAAGATGCGTGATTAATTAGATGAAATAGTATAAGATCCTTTTGGAAACTATGGTGTATAACATGTTATTGATGTAATTATATCAATTTTAAAATTTAGGTCTATGGAGATTAGAAGTGTAATCCAATTATTGATAAAATTTTGTAAAAATTAGTGCAATTATCTATCCATAAATATTCCTCAAATGTTGTTGAAAAATGTATTTTGGAAACTTCTGCTAAAACTCAGAAACGGTTCATTAAACAATTGTCTTAAGATGTCATATGTTTGGAATTAATGAAAAATAAATTTGGAACCTTTGTTCTATAGAAGGCTCTCTAAGAAGCTGAAAAATTAGGCGAAGGAGACTTGTTATAATAAGCTCTTTAGCGAAACTTGCCTTCCATTTATGCTCAGAATATTAGGCAAAAGTGGATGGATTACTTATCAAAGAAGTGATTAATTGACCTATTATATATATTAATATTATTGTACATTACAGTATTAAAAACATCATTTATATTTGTATTTTTCTACATTACATGATGAAAATCATCATTCGTTATTGTTCACAATGGGGTAACATGAGTACTAAGACTTGTACTGTTAATCCGAACATTAAGGTGGCTTAATTGAAATAACAGATTGCCTAACTTACAGAGATTCGTGAAGAAGATCAGACATTGATCCTAAATGAATACACTCTTGAAGATGATCAGCATCTTTTTAATTATAATCCTGAAGATTGCCAATTCATTTATGTGAATAGGGAGAATCAAGTAGTAGAAGAAGAAACTTCAGAAACAGAAGTCTTGGAAACTCAAAAATGTTACAATCGTATGAAAGGATATGAAAAATTGGGCATTGTACATGAAGACTCAGAGGAAGAAGATGAGAGTCGCAAAAAATCTTTAGGTATGCATAAAACCTAAATGGAAATTGCTGCTGAATTCATTAAGGTAAGTATAGTGTTTCAATTTATCAGCTAGTAAAATGCAATGACATTCCAGCAGTAAAAGCAATGGTTAGCAATCATAAAAGTCCATCTTTTGATATTATTAATGACAGATAATATTGTGGATTTAGCGGATTCCACTATGCAAACCTAAATGGACATGAAGAACTAGTTGCATATTTAATTGAGGAGGGTGCTGATATAAATTTTTGTACGAAAGATAGATAATCCCCACTTCAATTAGCTTTAAAAAATTAAAAAATAGAATGTGCTAAACTTCTTCTAAATAAGTAAGTTTGTGATGTGAATTATTGTGAATAAGGAAAGAGTGCATTACAATTGGCAGTTCAAAAAGGAGAATTGGATATTGTAGAATTGATACTAAAACATCCTTAATTTGATGCATAGGCAGTTGATTTAAGTGAAATAAAAGGAGATTAATATGCCACATAATTGGTGACTTATCATTGTCAATAGAAATCGAATAAAACTTAAGAATTGGTTAAACCTAAGGCTCAGAAAGGATATATAAAGAAAGTGAATGTGATGAAGTTCTTTCATTACAAACGTTACTTAACATTAGACCCAGAAGCAGGTACCCTTTGTAGATATAAAACAGAAGGGGATTGTCCTCTTAATCCTATTGAGATGATTGCATTATCAAATGTAGTATCAGTTTGGAATCCAAAAAGAGAATGGTATATGAAAAGTGATCATGAATATTTAAGTGTAAGAGATATTGATTACTATATTTTAGGTCTCATATAAGAAGAGTGGAGTTGTGATATTGTTATTTTGTTCAAAAAGTAAGAATACAATTCTGAGTTGGAAAAAGAGCCTTGAAGATTCAATTGTGTATTACAAAGAATCTGAAAGGAAAATAGCATAATTGTCTATATAAGGAGACATAATGACATTGAATCAATACATAAGTATTGGTGGTGATGGACAATTTAATGTAATAGCAGATTCTCGATGTTAATCTTTGAATGATTAAGCTGCTTAAAATTTAAAAATGTAAGCATAATAAGTATAAGATTAATTATAATAATAATAATAACAATAATAATAATAATAATAATAATAATAATAATAATAATAATAATAATAATAATAATAATAATAATAATAATAATAATAATAATAATAATAATAATAATAATAATAATAATAATAATAATAATAATAATAATAATAATAATAATAATAATAATAATAATAATAATAATAATAATAATAATAATAATAATAATAATAATAATAATAATAATAATAATAATAATAATAATAATAATAATAATAATAATAATAATAATAATAATAATAATAATAATAATAATAATAATAATAATAATAATAATAATAATAATAATAATAATAATAATAATAATAATAATAATAATAATAATAATAATAATAATAATAATAATAATAATAATAATAATAATAATAATAATAATAATAATAATAATAATAATAATAATAATAATAATAATAATAATAATAATAATAATAATAATAATAATAATAATAATAATAATAATAATAATAATAATAATAATAATAATAATAATAATAATAATAATAATAATAATAATAATAATAATAATAATAATAATAATAATAATAATAATAATAATAATAATAATAATAATAATAATAATAATAATAATAATAATAATAATAATAATAATAATAATAATAATAATAATAATAATAATAATAATAATAATAATAATAATAATAATAATAATTATAATAATAATAATAATAATAATCTCCTTCTCATAAAACACTTTCTCTAGTCGAAGAAAACTTGGGAAATGAGTAATTTAAACAATATTTAATAAATTACACTGTAATAAAATAAATTGGATAAGGAGCATTTGGTAGAGTATTCTTAGTCAAATACAATCCAACTAATTAGGTTTATGCTATGAAACAATTAAATAAAAGAAAATTGTTATAAAAAAAGTAAGTGAAATTTGCAGTTACTGAATGTGATATATTGAAGTAAGTAGATTCACCATACATAGTGAATTTGTTTTAATCTTTTTAAACCCTCAATAATCTTTATTTAGTTATGGATTATTGTGGTGGTGGAGATCTATCATTCCATCTTTATAAACATAAGACTTTTAATGAAGCCACTTGTAAAATAATTATTAGATAATTAATGAAAGCAGTAGAATACTTACATAGTAAAGATATAATCTATAGAGATTTAAAGCCTGAGAATATTCTCATAGATAATGAAAATAAAATTAAATTAGTTGATTTTGGACTTTCTAAGTAAACTGAAATGGGAAAAGCAAGAACTTTTTGTGGTTCTCCTGCTTATCTTGCACCAGAAGTTCTATCATAAAAAGGAGCTGTACAAGCAACAGATGTTTATGGAATAGGGACAGTTTTATATGAATTACTTATTGGTGAACCTCCTTATTTTAGTGAGGATTTGGATACATTATATAATAATATCAGAAATGATAATTTAGAGATTCCAAATAAGTTAAGCAGATCTTGCCAATCTATATTGCAAAGTCTATTATAAAAAGAGGCTAACAAAAGAATTGGATGTAAGATTCCTTCACAAGTTAATTGGAATATCATTAAATAACATGAATGGTTAGATTGGGATAATCCATAGGAAAAAGTTAGCTTTGGATTGACATAAGAAAACTTAGCTAATGTTGTAAAGAATTATACTCATGTAATATTAAATGATATCTTTAGAATTTGGGTGATACTGATTACACTGATGAAAATTATAAATTAAACAGAATAGTTGGATGGACTTTCGTGAGGGTTAATTGATTATATTATCTATATATGTTTTCATTATACAAATAATAACTTTAAAGAAACTCTTAATTATTTTTATCAGATCTTAAATACAAATACAGAAACAAGTAATTAAGATGAATATTATTCAAAGTTCTATATGATAAACATAATACTGTTTGATTTATGTAAAAGCAACACAATAAGGATCACTTTTTAAATTAAAGTAAGAGGTCATGTTAAAATTAACACAAAATATAGTCTTTGTATTGAGATACTATAATTCAAACAAAATATATTATTAGTCAATTCAAAATATAAGAAATTAATTAACCTATTGAAACTTGTTTAGTGTTGAATGTTGTGTATAATTGAATTAGAAGTATAATAAAAATGATGAAAGTTAAAATATTCACAAACATTGAAATCACAAACAAATAGACATAATATTTTAGTAGTATTTTCAAAGAGTAATGTATCAACACTTTTTTCCTCAAAATAAAAATTATTCATTGTAAAATGATATTTTTATGTTATTTGAAATTAATCTAATCCAGGTATTTGCTCTATGCAAAACTACTGATTCTTGCTTTGGTAATTGAAATCTTTCAGCTTTAAAGAGTTGATTAATACACATATTCTAAGAGTAAGTTTTTATGTTTTATGTAGACTTGATTTGATAAACTCTGTGATATCCTAATGTATATTTTAAACTTTTTTTGTTATTTTTAGAACTGTAAATATTATTTACCAATAAAAATCTATTAGATCGAAATTCATATAATAGGGATAAAAGGTTTTGGATACATTTGACTATTATTCAACCATTAATTCATGAGGATGTAAAATTTAATGATATTTTAAAAATTTCGTAATGAATAATATATTATCATTAGATATTCAAAAGAGTTTGTGATAAGGTCTTAAATAGATTGATAAAAAATATATTGATTAATTATAATAACTAATTTAAAAATATGAAATAAGATAATAGTGATGATGATAACAATATCATAAAATTTGATGAAGATGACAATGGACAAGATTATTAATAGTAAAAATACCCATAGCAAAAAACAAAAGTAAGAAAAAATTTTTAGGATGATGAGGAAATCATTCATGAACCAGGAATGCAATAAATAAATTAAGATGATTAGGGTTTGAATAATATTAGATTAGAAAGACCAAAAACATCTGCATAGGAAATGAAAATACAATAGCAAAAGTAGTAGTAAATTTAATTTCATTAAATTTAAAACCCAAATCCTAACAATTTTTAACACTAATCTGAAGAATCACATAGTGATAATGATTAAAGGGATTAACATAATGAATCATGTGTAAATTTCTAATCAGAGATGGGTGATCCAGTAGATTAAGAAGATGTGAGTTAACAAGTGCATCAAAATTAACCTTAAACTTTATAATTACAAGCAATATAAGATGATGATCAACAATAATCTTAGTTACAATAATAAAATTAATAACCACCTCTAACATCTTCAAATTAAAGTTAAGTATCTGTTAATCCATTTCCACAAAAGCTTGAAATTTAATATATACAAGATTAAATGAATAATCCAGATTAAAGAAAATAATTTCTCACAACTCCATTAAAATAAGATAGAACTCTATAATGTTATATAAAAAGAGATAAAAGTGGTCTAGCTAGACTCTATCCAGTTTATCATGTTTATACAACAGAAGCAGATGTCTACTTATTCAGTGCAAAAAAAGTAGTTATGAATACTACATCTAATTATGTCATTTCTATGGATAAGAGAGAATTTTCAACTAGGAAATCTTGTTTCTTGGGTAAAGTTAGATCTAATTTTCTGGGAACAGAATTCATACTTTGGGATGAAGGCAAGAATTTTAAAAAATGCAAAGACACAAGTTAAATTAGAAGTTAGTTGGGAATTGTTTATTATGAAAGTCATATTATGTAGAATAAAGGTCCAAGGAAAATGAAAGTATTATTGCCTAAAGTTGGAGATATGAACATACCAAAAATATATTAACCTCTTCGAAGTAATGAAGGGATTTAATTCGATTATCAAAATAATAAGAGAGAATTCATTGAAGAATTTATTAATAAGCCTCCTAGATGGGATTAAAAGATGAAAGCTCATGTCCTCAATTTTTATGGAAGAGTAGATCAACCCTCTGTCAAGAATTTTCAATTAGTCAAACCAAGCAATCATTAATTTATTCATCTATAATTTGGAAGAGTTGATGATCTGCTCTTCAACCTTGATTTCTGTTATCCCTTATCACCTTTGCAAGCATTCTAAATATGTGTGACATCATTTGACTTTAAATTTGCTTGTGAGTGAATCAACATTAAATATATTAATAAATTAGATCATTAATAAAACTATTTAAATTGATAAATCATATGTTCTTTCTTTCTCTCTTTAAATTATATTTAAATTACTTTCCCTTTTTTGAATAGATAAAGATTAATATTAATTAAAATTATATTTAGTTCATCTTCTTATTTGCTAATTAGCTATCATATTCAAAATTGTAATTTTTTAATTCTATTTTGATAAATCTTATAATTAGATTATCAATTGATATATATTACATCTTCTATCAAAGTCTATTTATCGAAAATCTATTTTAGAAAAATTAAATCTATTTTTGAAGTTAAAAAATAAAAAAAGCAGAATTATTTTTCAATCAAATTTTTTTTGAAGGTAATCATAGTCTTAATTTAAATAACTAATTACTATCATACTTTAAATTTCTGATAATAATTAAAAAATGATCAATCTATTAATGAAATTAAGCTCTAATGATAAAGTTAGAAGCAGTGATTTAATTTTTCCAAATATTATTATTTATTTATTAAAAATCAATCAACTGATTAATTGATCATTTTCATATCCCAGACTGTATTTTGGATTAAACTTTTATTCAAAACATTAAACTCTTATTCTGAACATTGAACTTTTATTCTGAACATTATTAAATATATAGCATTACAAAAAAAACAATGAGATTTTTATGATATATATTTGAATAAAATATTTAATAATAATTTGGATTGAATAATATAATCATTTGTTGTGATAACTTTTAGAAATATTACAACATTTAGCAATGAATCCAGACATCTATAAGAATGTAGGTAGCCCTTCTAAAATTCTAGCTTTAAGAAAGGCAATTTATCTAAGGAATTCAAATTGAAGGTCTCTATTTTCAGTATAATTCTGTATAACTTTATTGAATGTATTAGTAATATCATAAGCCATATAACCATCATCAAAAATAGTCTTCATAAGAGATTGTGCAGATTAGAATTGGCCTTTCATCATATAATCTAAAATTAATTTTAAATCATCAACATTAGGAATATCACAAACTTTAAATACATTTTCTCTATTAACTAATCCAAATCCAGTAAATGTAGCTTATAAATTATTAATAGCCTATCTCATATCTCCTTCAGCTGTAAATGTTAATGCATCTAAGCCATCTTTAGTATAAGTCACATCTTCCTATTTTATAATTTCTAACAATCTATCTCTAATTTCATTTTCTCCTAATCTATTAAATCTCAAAATGCAGCATCTACTCTAAATAGCATCAATCAATTTAGTAGAATCATTACAAGATAATACGAATCTTGTTGAATTAGAATAATCACTTATAATCATTCTTAATGCTTATTATGCACCTTCTGTTAAACTATCTGCTTCATCTAAGATAACTATTTTATGTTTCCCTTCTTATAAATTAACTTTTTTTTATGCAAATCCTTTTATTTATTCTCTTACTGTCTCTATACCTCTATCATCAGATGCATTTAATTCAAGTACACTTTCTTTTATTGAATCTCCCAATATTTATCTAGCTAAACAAAGTACACTACTAGTCTTTCCTATTCCAGGAGGACCTACCAATATAATATTTGGCACATTTCCCATTTTAGCTATTGCTCTTAGTTTATCTACTATATCTAAATTACCATGTACTTCATCCAATGTTTTTGGACGATATTTTTCTAACCAAATTAAATTGTTTTCCATTAAGGCGCTAAAACTTAAATTTTTATATATTTTTTAATTAATATTCACAAAAATATTATTTATTAATCTGACAAGGAAAATTAGGAATTTATATTATAAATATAAATGACTGATGATTATTTTAACCTTGACTTTGAAGACAATTGTTATCAATCATGTCAATATTAATTTACTAGTAGTAGAGATAGTGGCATGTCATCTGATGATACTCATTAAAAAAATATTTAGATAAAGAAAAAAAATATTGCTAAAAAATATGAACCAATATATGAAAATAATATTGTTTATAGATATGAAGACAACCCAGAATAATATAAAAAAATTAGAAAGTATATTCATTTATATATCTTAATCCAGAAAACTTTAAAATAGAGAATCAGCTAATAGAGTTAGAGGAAGATAGAAAAATTATGTCCAAGATATGGAATAAGAATTAATTGACATTAAAAAAGACAATTAACATCTCTAAATGTTAAATGCTAAATTACAAGCTGAAAATGTTGTTTTAAAATAATAAGTTGAATTTATGTAAAATCTAATCATGTAATCATAACCTCATCAGACTGAAATCACTTTATAAAGAGATACTACTAAAAATAGCCATCTAGCTACATTAACTGCCTTCTCAGTTATATTAGGATTTGCATTTCTTAATGGTGCAGAAATAGAATCAAAAGAATCAATCATAGGTGCAATTGAATAGACAAACAATCCTATCATATCTCCTCCTATTCCTGTTACTCATTCAATCAAACCCTTCTTACTTGGCTCAGCTATTGCTCTTTGGTTAGTTTATGCTCTCTATGTTGTCTATAAAGTGTTTTTGAAAAATAAATTAAAAAAGAAAAAAGTTATTTGATTATTTTTAAATATAAGTATTATCATACTTAAATATCATATACATTTTATAAAATAATTAAATTTATTCTACTCTTTAAATTTATTTCAACACATATTTTACTCAAAAGAATAAAATATATACTAATCAATAGACAGAATGAATTTCAACCATATTATAATTACATAAATGCTTATCAAATAGTATCTTAAACTAAATAAATTATCATATCATTTGTGGAAATAAACAGAATCCTTTCTAATTATTTCTTAACTATCCTCATATTAAATCTAATAGTTCATGTTTCATTTTAATCTGAAATCAAATATTATATCTAGGCTAGCTTACATATTTTACTTGATAGCAAATTAAGGATAAAGTAGGAAATTAGCAAGTTTAATCTTTATTGAGTATAATAAAGATAGTATAAATATTTCTTAAAGTGAAGATATTGATATCAAATTAAATGAATATATATTGGTTACAATTGTTAAAATATTACATTAAGATTGTTTGCAACAAAAAGAAATATATTTTGGAAGAAGATAATAATCTAATTAAATAGATATTTTTTAAGTTTAAATTAATAGTATAATTTATATCAATTAAATATTTTTATTAAATGTTTTTGCACAAAGTTATTCTTTCACTTTTATTTAGTTCTATTTTAGCAACTTAAATAAGCTTTAATAATTTTTAAGAATGGAAAACTTAATTTAACAAAAATTATTTATCAAAAAATGAAGAACTTTATAGGTTTTATATTTATGTTGCTAATTATGATATCATTCATAAACATAATTAAGAATAGGAACATTCTTATACTTTAGGAGAAAATTAGTTTATGGATCTAACTCATGAAGAATTCTTGGAAATTTATGGATTTAAAAATCCTGTTTAAGAATTTGAAAATTCAAATTAAAATTCTGACAGAATACCTATAAATAACAAAAAGGTAGTTCTTTATGATTGGAGTGATTATTGCCCACTACCAAAGAATTAAGGTAATTGTGGTGCAGGATGGGCATATGCAACAGCTGAAATAATGGAATGTTATAATCTTATCTAATTTGGGTTTGGATATCTTGTATTAATGTCATAATAATAATTGATTGATTGTGTAAGTAATAATAATGGTTGTGAAACTCAATCAATGAATGATATTATAAATGCATTCAATTATGCAAATGAATTCCATATATCTGAATTAGATTATTATCCTTAAAGTGGAAAACAAGATAATTGTAAAGGAACTAGAGGCAGAACAACTTATAAACTAACTTAATTTGAAACAATACAGAGAGATAAATATACAATAATAGATTCACTTAGTAATGGACCTGTAGTAGCTGGCTTTGATATTAGTGGATGGTAATTTTATAAGGATGGAACATATGATTGTTTTTTAGATCAGAATGCAAATCATCATGCAATTATAGTTAAAACTCTTGCACTCTAAGACCAAGAAGACAAAGATTACATAGAAATATAAAATTCTTGGGGTTAGTATTGGGGTAGGAATGGATTAATTAAATATAGTTTTAATTATAATTGTAAAGTTTTTAATAGACCAATATATAAATCATTTAAAATATAAGTTTATTGAAATATTAATTTATGCATTATAAATATATTATCACATTGTCTCTTATTATAATGATTATGATTATTATTATTATTATTATGATTATGATTATTATTATGATTATTATTATTATTATGATTATGATTATTATTATTATTTTTATTATTATTATTTTTATTCTTAATCTTATAATTCTTAAATTCCTTTTTAGTATAATTTATCCCATTCAAGAATGGTTTCATCTAAATTATTGACACAGATTTAAAATGCTCCTTTACCAAATACATTCATTTAATGATATAATGGTCTGACAATAACTTTAATGAATCCCATTTCATTCTTTGACATGACATGCAACTAAAGAATAGGATATGATAATTAACTTTATCTAAATCTTTCATAAATGGTTATTAAGGATATCCTTTTTTACCCTCTTCTTCATATTATGCTCTATATTCTTAATTAATTTTATCACTCCAAAGTTAACTTTATGGCCATTTTCTAGCTGTACCATTAAAATCTGCAGTATGTGTAATCATTCCACATAATAAGGATAGATCTTCTGGATCATTACCATATTATTCAATTCTAGATTCAAACTCTTTGAGCATTTTAAAGTGTTCTTACATATCAGTAGCAAGTATATTAGATACTAATTATTTTCTAAAAGATCGAAAATCTGAATCAGAAAAATTGCATAGAATATTTGTCTATGAATCTCTAAGAATCTTAACTGTAGTGGCTGCATGATGTTATTCCAAAACCTTAAAATATAAAGAATATAAACATACCACTTTATCATGATATCTGATAGCCAATGAACTTAATGAATTAGCTTCATAAGTGTTTGTTTTACCTGTATGAGCTACATCATGACAAAGTCCAGAAAGTAATAAACAAAATCTTGTTATATTATTGAATAAGTGTTCTCCTATATGTTCTAGTAATTATTTCACAAAACAATTTACAGCTTACATAACTGCTATTCCATGATCATAATTATGATATGGATTATTATTCATATTGTATTAAGTTTCCATTTCATTTAAAAAATTTACCAATTTATCTTAAGGAATAGCATACATCTATACAAAATTACCTCTTGCTAAAATTGACCAAACTAATCTTTACTTTTCAATAGTAGTATTAATCTATTTAATTAAATTATCATTATTTTTACTTTATGAATATTAAAATCTAGAGAATCCAATATTAGATCATCCTCTTTCACACTTAAATGAGATTCATTAAATTTATTTGGATTTGTTTTCATCTATTTTTTCTCCTCTTCCCTTTACTTGAATAAAAAACTATTCTTCCCTACTACTTAATCTTTATTTATCTTTCTAAAAACTAAAGTTGGGGTTTTCTATGACTATTATTATACTGGAATGAATTCTTAAGTCTAAGGCATATACATTGCTACAACTGAATTTCTTATATCAGGATTAAATTCTTCCAATTTCTTAATATAATCCATTGTTTCTGTTTACAATAACTATTATCTTACCGATTTAGCTGCACTTGGAGGTTATGTTTTTCTTCTTATCCAATCATTCTCTGATACTATTAATGTAAATCCTTTAAATTGTTTTTCCTCTTTTCTTATAAAAATTTCATAAGTTTTATTTGATTCATCCTCTTATTGATTAAGCTTCCACTTTGAATTACTTATATAAGTTTCAATAGTCTCTATCATTTATTAATTTGAATTGAAAATCTACTTATAAGTTTAATCAATTTAAGTTTTATCAATATTAAACTATTGTTTAATTTTCTAAGGTAATGCCTTACTCAAAAATCTTAATCTCCCTTGTTTATCAAAATCAATCATATAAAGACTCTTTGATCTTAAGAAGTATTTATAAAATGACATTCTTTCATAACATTGTTTTATAAATTGTTAATATCTCTAATATAATTAATTAATTTGATTGTAGATTAATAAATCTTAAGGTTTCTTTAAATCCATATTAGTACTAAATAGATTTTAAGATTATGAATCTTTAAACTTAAATGTAACAAGTTGAGGTTAATATTCATTTATTTATTAAATTTCATATTATTTATTAATCGTTGATAATATTTATTCAATTAATAAATACTTTGAACATCTGACTATTTCCAATCCTATTTCTAATACTGTATCCCCAATAGATAAAATACTAAAATATTACACTTTAATCTATTGTTCTGTATAAATAACAAACTGAGCAAGATCAATAATAGAATCTAAATACTTATATTTACTTGCCAACATCATAAATTATGTAAAATCTTCATCTATTTGTAAAGTAAAAAATGATGTGCTAGATAACTTCAATATGTATTCTCCATTTCTAAAATATTTTCTCAAAGATTCTATTTGTTGTATTTCTGTGATATCAGTGAGATTTTATAATTCACTTTTGCATTTCTCATCTAAATCTAATTATTCATATTTCTCATCTCGATGTAATGAGATTATTTCATCTTTGATTACGATATAGCCATAGGATGTACAACCAATCAATTAATTTAAAAATGTTTTAAGGAATTCTTAAATATCTTTTGGTTCAACTTTTTCATCCATCAATAACAGTAATGAATTCATATAACGTGAATACCTTTGCTAAGTGTTATGACAAAATTACTTTTATTAATGAATAAACTTATTGCAATTATTAGTTTATGGTTATATCGATTTCCTCCTTTTGATCAATCTAATATATAATGTTCCTCAATTTTTAAATTTTATCTTTAAATTCCTCTGTGATCTAATATTATATTTATAAATTCTATTACTTGTTAATGAGAATGTCTAAACATATTGTTTAACTATTTTATTAACTAATCTATCATTTTTACTGTTTAAGTCTAAAATCAAAAGTATTATTTACTAATATTTATCCCTCATGCTTTCTTGATGGACTTAATTCTTATGTCTATGATTTTGATCTTGTCATTTGAAGCTAACCAACGTATGTTAGTAACATTTCTTTCATTTTATTATCATCATGTTATTTTGATAATAATACTAATAATGAAGGATCCTTGACTGTCAACTTTTATTTCACAATCTTTTTCTCCTATTGAGAGATTAGATTTTATGATTCCATCTCTCCTAAAACGTGGAAAAAGTTTAGATACCCACATAGACTGGGGGAATGAAGTTCATCTTATTTCATTTTCTTTATTCTTCAAAATAATTAATTCAATATTATTTCACTGTTATCAAATAACTATTATTACCAAATCGTTTTATGTAAATATTTATATTAACTATTTATTTTTTATAGCAAATATTGAACATTCATATCATTATAAAATACATATTTCATATTCATTCCATGAATATACTCTAAATATTATTTTTCACTTTTATATTACCCAATACAAAAATCACTAAAATATTTCCTATTTACACTAATACAAAATCCTTTTAAACTAAAGATTTTAATCTAATTTAGTCAATTTTTAAATCAATCTCTTTAATTTATGATTATTTATTCTATAATTTATATTCACTCATACTAAAATGTATAAAATTAAATCCATTTTAAAAAACTGTATTAAATCCATTTTTCCTTTTCACAAGATTTCCAATTCTTATGAAATTTTAATTTATATATAATGAACATTGAAATTCTAAATAATATAACAAACTTATATTTTGGATATCTTTTCTTCATTGCTTGTTATTGTTAAGATATTCAAAAATAATTTATATTTTTGATAAGATTTCATTAATAATTGCAATTATTAGTTTTTGTGTTAGGAAACATGTAAAATAATTTATGAAATTATTGAAATTTAATCATTATTAAGAATTTCAACTTCAAAATTTAATCATTTATTATTATTTTCAAATTATTATTGATCTTCTCTCCTATAATTTAAATTTACTATCTTTTTTTGTATTCAATTACAATTCTGAAATATATTATTCATACACTTAAAGTATATTTCCTCTTTAGGCTATTGTTTTTGATCAAAAATTATAGATTAAGGAAAATCATCTTGCATTTATGATTCTTTGATGTATTTACTTATATATTTAATTTAATATATTTATTAAATAAAAATTAGAATATTTTTAATAAGAAACTCCATAATAATTGAAAGGCTGTCTCGTATTTTTAATTTTAAGATGTAAGCAAACTATGAATGAATTTTATTATCTATATTAAACTTTGAAGACAATTTAAAATTATAAAAATGCCAAATCTCATTAATTTCTTACTTAAAAATAATATAATCAAAGGTTCCAATAAGCTACTCAAATTACACAAATGAAAGAATAAAAAATTTATTTTAAACTATATTAATTGCAGAACTTATTCGAGAATCATTGATTTATTTTTATTAACATAGTAAATATTTTTTCAATTTTAAAAAGACTGCTTTGACAATTCTTTCAAACAAATATTGGTAAAATTATATATCAATGCTATAAATTTGAAAGTAATATAAAATAATACACATAGATAAAATTAATTATAGAATGTGTAATAATTAAATCTACATATATTTGCAATAAATAAATAAATATTTTATTTAATCAAGCAATGACTTATGCAGATTGAAAGTATGAAAAAAAAAGCAAGAAAAAAAATTAAAGATATTGTGGATTTGGATTACTAAGTTGAATTTGGCAATATTATGCTTTGAAAAATGTGTTTAATTATATATTTGCTCAATTTATAGATTATAAAGTAAATCACTTTAGTCAAAGAAAGAGAAAAGAAATTAATTTTAAAAAGAATGATGATAGAAGAGAAATAATAAAAATGAAAATATTAAGAGGATATAATTTTTGTTATAAATTTTTTTATGTTATTTAATTAATGGCGTAATAATACTTTGAATATTATGAATAAAATAAGGTAAAGAAATCATGTATAATGTTTAGAATGTATTTTGTATAAAGATAAATATGAATTATATAGTTAATTAGTTAATCATAATTATTTTTTATATGTGTAAATATATATTTTGAAGTTTGATTAATATAAATGTATAATATCCTTTTATTAATTACAGCAACGATTGTAAATGGATATTTATCGTATAAAGAGGGTGGATATGATTACACAAATGTATTTCCTAGTAATGGAGTGTTGCCAAATGGTACAAAATGCACTAAAGTTGATGCTTAAAAACTAAATACACTTTTTGATAAAGATTAAATAATCTATTCTGGTTATTTGAGTGTATTAAAAGATAGCAAATCTAGTTTGGGATTCATATTTTATGGATCATAAAAAGCAACTTAAGAATCTGATCTTTCGAAATTTCCAACATTAATATGGCTTAATGGAGGTCCTGGATCATCATCTTAATTAGGTAATTTTATGGAATTAGGTCCTTTAATTATGAAGGAAGATGGAACTTTTTATAAAAATAAATATGCTTGGAATACAGAATATAATGTTATATTTGTAGATTAACCTATTGGAGCAGGATTAGCATATCCTGAAAAATAAGAAGATGTTCCAACAAATTAAAAATAAATTGGTGAGTAATTTTTATATGCTTTATTATAATTTTTATATGATTCTGAAGGATGTGTTAAGAAAAACTCAATTCTTGGATTATAAAAATCTCCATGGTTTATTTTTGGAGAAAGTTATGCTGGAAAGTAATATAAATTTAAATAATTAGATATGTTCCAACAATAGCTAAAGCAATATTAGATTATAATATATAAGCAACTACTCCAATTCCTTTAAAAGGTATAGGAATAGGAGATCCTTTTACTGATCCTTATGCTGTTATAGCAGAATATGCTTCATATGCATTTAATTTAGGTTTAATTGATGTATAAGAGAGAGCTTAAATTGATTCTATTATTGTATATGGATTAAATGAATTAAATAAAGGAAATTCATTAAATGCTAGAGCAGCTTTTGATAAATCTTTAGAACTTATTGGAGAATATGATGGAGGAATGAATGTTTATAATGTATTATAATATGGAACTTATAATTAAGCAAAAACTTATATCTAAAATTATTTAAGAGATCCTTTTATATTAAATTAATTAGGATTTAGTAGTGATTGGATATATAAAATTAGTAATGGAGCAGATGGTCCAGTATAAAAAGCTTTAGCTTATGATTTTATGTTAAGAGATGTTGTTAAAACTGTTGAAGAAATATTACCTAAAATTCCACTTTTTGTATTTAGTGGATAAAATGATTTAATTTGTTCAACTCCTGGAACTTTAAGATGGTTATATGATTTAAAATATAGTAAAATTGAAGAATATAAATAAAAAGATCTAGAAATTGTTAAACTTCTTGGTACTGAAAAAATTGTAGGTTATTATAAATCAGCTGGAAATCTAGAACTTCAATTAGTCAATAATGCAGGACATATGATACCTACAGATTAACCTTAAGCTGCTTTAGAAATGATTGTTAAATTTGTTAACAAGCACAAAAATTGATATCATTATATTTATTCAAATAAAACAAATTTATAATATATTATTTAGATAAAGATGTTTTATTATATTATTTCTTTAGCTGTAATAATAATACAAATAATAATAAATCTATTTTAAGCAAACAAATATTATTTCATTTTATATATACATATATATCTTAAAGGAAAATCAAAAAATTATTATTTAGAAATTCATTATTTATTTTATAAACATCACTTTATCTAAATTATATAGTTTGAAAACTATTTTATTTATTTTAATTTTGCAATTAAAGAAAATAAATAAATTATGTTAAAAAATTTTATTTAGTAAAATATACATACATAAAAGAAAATTATTTTATAGCCTTTATATTCAATAATTAAGCAATATATTTAATTCTGAAGACATCTTAAAGTATTTTTTAAATGGTAAATTAATTGAATAAGAGAATAGTAGAATTCAAACGATTCTAAGAAGCTTTAAAATGATATATATAAATAAATTCCAATAAATCCTTTAATGCAAAAGTCATAAAATCAAAGCAATCATAATAACTATATTAATTGGAATGAGTTTTTAAAAAAACAATTTTTCTATGGATAAATTTTTATAAAATGCTCATCAAGTACTTACTCATCATTTATAAGAAATGTATTTTATTTTGTAAGCTAATTAAAAGGTCTTTTTATAAAGTTTATTATGAAATAAAGTTTGATATATAAATACTCTTTAGCAATTTATTTTATGAAAATTAAATTATTTTTATAAAGCCTTTGATAATAATTATATTATTATACTATGCAACAAGGTTTAATTTAAAAATTAATATTTTATGTGAATTTTTTAGAACTATTTCATTATTTTTAACATTTGAAAAATTGAATTATAAATACAAATAAAGAATTTCTAAAGTGAAAATTAGAATTTTTAGAAGGTGAATGTAAACTAAAAAAATTAATTTTCAAATTTAATTATTTAATGGAGTTTATGATTTGTAAACGATGTCATTTAGATTGAAGGAGGATAATTAAAATTAAATTAAACCTTTTTATTTTTTTTTGCATTTTGATTTTCATTAATTATTGTTAGATTATTTTTTGATATTAATGCCTTTGATAATGATTTAGGATAACCATTTATTTTTATCTTTCATATTGTTTTTTATTCTTCTCTTTAAATGGAGAACATATGGATACCAAAAATTTATCATTAATGTGAAAGACCAAAAAAACATCAATATATTTAATATTTTTTGGTCATATTCAATGAATAGAATAATAATTACTTATATTAGCCATAAAATAAAATGATATAATTAAAATATAATTTATAATCAGGATTTTAACATTTGAAATTACCATAAACTTAAGGTGATAGAAATATAAGCTATTTTTTAAATCAAATTTGTATCCAGAATCTATATTTAATCTAATTTTCTAAATAAAAATTTTTCTGTGTAAAAATAGATCTTTAATACATAGATCATAATTGAAAATAATTTACACTTCTATTACCTCTGTTTATATATAAATTTGCATGTTTTTTGATTTTAAATAAAATTCAAACCAAGCATTAATAAACTCTTGAACCTTTTATAATTTTATGCTTCTAGTAGTTGTTATAAATTTCTTGCTTTCTCTGCAACGACTTAAATGGGAGCCTAAATTTATCATTTACTATTACTTTAGCTCAATATGAGAAAAACCTCGATTATTATAAGCTATTGATTAGATTGATTATTTCTGTTTTTCCTATCAATAAATTTAGATGATGATATACTAAATTTAAATAAGAGATTCAATCTTCTAATTTTAGTGAAAAACTTGTTTCACTAAAATTATTCTTTAATGATTAATTATATTATTAAAAAATCTTATTTTTATCACGAATTAAACTAAGAAAAGAATTATTTACTAAAATTTACAAAATATATCTTCCAAGTTTTGCTTTATTATTTTATAAAGAAATAATTTGAATTATTTTAATAATAAAGAATAATGAAAATAATGATATCAATATTAGATTTTTATTTAGAGAGATTTATACGTCAAATAATAGAAAAATCTTAAATTTCAAGAAAATTTATTGACGATCTATAAAATACTAAAATAAATCATAATTAATAAAATAGACTATATTAAAATAGTTATAAGCTATAGTAAAGAGCTTGTTATAGTTATAAATTTTATTTAAACAATTAAGCACTTTTATATTTTCATATCGAAATTAGTTTAATTAGTGTATTTTAATAAATCAAAAGAAAATATATTAGTTTAATAATATGATTTGAATAAAATATTTCATAAAGTAACAATTTACAGCTAATAATCAAAGTCTTCTAAATTGGGATAATGTTTAGATCGAATTAATTTAGAAACCATTAAAATTTTTTATGTTGTCATATTATAAAAAATTTAAAATTAATTCTTAAGCTTTAAAATATAACTTCTATTGAGTTAAAAAATTTTACCAGCATGAAATGAAAAGTACATTATCAATGTTTGGATAATGTTAAAGTTAAAGTACTAATTATAAAATTAATAATGAAATTTCTAAAATTGCTAAAGGATAAATTAAGCAATCTATAAAAATAAAATTGATGAACATTGATTAATTTAATTAATAATGCTGATTACAGAAATTTTACTTCATGAATAACTAAAAATCGTAAAAATTTAGAGACCAAAATTTTTATTTAGAATTAACTCATCAAAAATTCTATTTCTAAAATTATTAAGAATCAAAATTTTCTAGTTTTCTTTCAAAAGTTATTTTTACAAACTTTGAAATACATTCTATTACTATATTAGAATTTCAAATACAAAAAATCATAGAAATGAAGAAAATAGTTGTGTTCAATAACATCTATATAATTTGTTTATTAATCTATAATGAGACAAAAATTTATCGATTAAAACAACAATCAAAGAAATTCATTAACCAAATATAAAAATTAGATTCGACAATATATTTATAAAAAATATCCAAAATCTAAGAATGATTTTATTTTAAAATTTAAATAAATATACAAACAATTATACTTCAAAAAATAAAACTATGAATTGATTTTATTATTAAATTAATAATCGAATTTATACAATTTCATTTAAAATAAAATTACAAAATAATTCAATTCAAAAAATTCAAAAGGATTTGGAATTGTCTGCCAAAAATTGTTAATAAATAAAAAACTAGAAAATCTTCTACCTTGACTTAATTTTCCCAGAACAGACTTTTATTGGAAACATTTTCAAGGTTATTTGTAATAAAGCAGGATTAACATTAAAGGAATAAAATTAATTAAATAATTTTTGAAAACAATAAACTTATATTTATAAGATAGTAATACAAAATTTTGGAATTATTAATAGGTAAATACTTAAAATTTAAAGAATATTAAAATTTACATTTATAGTACCTATTATATTTAATATCATTACTATTTTCATTATAAATAATAAAATCATATATCTATTCATTCATTTGAATTAGAATTTTATGTTAGAGTCAAAGAGATAAAATATAAATATAAATCTCTTTTATTATTTTTAATTTACATATATTTTATATATTTTTTCCTTTAAATCGTTTAATTAATAGTGATTGCTATATCATTTATAAATTTATTAATATTAGATATTAAAGATTTTATAAATTTTAGTTTATAAAAGTTAAAAATTTATGTATCAATAATAATTGACCCCATAAAAAATTGATTGTGCTGGTTTATGATTAGGATCATTATATTCATATTTAAATTAAAAAATAGAACTATAAAGAAATTCTGTAAATACTGATATAAGATTTAAACAGAAATTCTTTAAAAATTAGTTATTATTTTAATGAAACTCTAATCAATTGACCAAAAAATTGAATGCGGATTATTATTTTGCATAAACTTATGAAAATTTATGATCAAAGTTAATTGCACTACCTTTTTCATTAACAAGATTTTATCATCTATAATTTATTTGTCAAAAGTAATGTTTAATGTTTGATGAATAACTCAATTCGCTAATTTTCCATTCCAATCCTTGTATGTCTTCTCTTATCTCTTCATGTTTTATGTCCAGACAAGCTAATGTCAAAGTAATTTTTAAATAAACTTATCATCATAGATGGGGATTAATACTACTATGATTCTTAAGAAAAAAATAAAAAGAAATTTTAGATTCTAATTGATAGTATCCTCATGAGATGTTACAACTAAAATTTACTTAATAAATAAATAGATTATCTAAAAATAAATCAGATTAAAATTTATATCTTTAACTTTTTATTTATTTCTTTTAATGAGAAACTAGGCTATACTATTATTCTTTAAAAGTCTTAGACTATCAATAAAATCTTATTCAATATAATTTTCCTTTAATAAAATTAATAATAAGTTTAAAATACTTTCATTTGAATGTGGAGATCGATTTATACTTTTCATACCATAAATATGATGATAGTGTATTTTGTGATTACATCTAAAATTATTTCGATATTAAATTTAATATATTAATTTTATTTTTCCAGTCAAAGCCACAATAAATAATTTAAAATTAAAACAAATAATAAGGATATTTGATAAAATCATTTTAAAAATCAAAAAATTTAAGTTAATGACTGGTGATCTAAATTAATATATTTCAATTTATATCTAATATTTAATAAGATCTAAGAGTTTAAATAAGATTTAATTAAGAGTAGTCCTTATTAATAATTTAAATAATTAATACTTTGCTAACAAAAGCTAAAGTTGATTGAATATAAAAATTTATTTGAAAATATGAAAAACGTTATTAATAAAAAATTATATTAAAAATAATGATAGTTTTATTATGATTAATAGATATATAATAAAAATTTTATATTCAATAAATAAATGGGAGTGTGTTGTTCAAGTGTAAATTATACATATACAACTTTTCAAGGATTTAATGATAATGTATATTCACAATTCTTGAAATCTTTTCAAGAATAACATGATTCAGGAGATTTTAGTTTGCTAGGTAATTTTAAAATATTCAATGAATTTCTTCGACTTTAGTAAAGAGCTAATCCAATTGAAATAGGAATAATTAAATGGGAGATTTGTTTTGCATTGATAACGAGAACAAAAATGATAGGTACTTAATAAGAATGGATAAATTTTATTTCAAATCAACAAGATTATTAAGAAGCCTTAGATCTATTTAAAGATCAAGAATTTCAAAAAAATAACTAAGAAGAAACCCATCCCAATTGGTAACTTTTGATATCTCAATTCAATTTGATAATGATGAATTTGGAATAAAGCAACTTATAATATAATCTGTTTGAGTAAACATATGCTTATTTGTAAGATTAAATTGTAGAGCTTTAAGTTTGAATATCATTATTAATTATAAATCAATAATTTAATATAACACAAAACTTCTTTATTATCTTCAAGTTTATAAATGATTGTTTCATTTATAAATGTAGTTTTTAACTTAAAATCTAATTTATTTTAGTTATTTTTGGTCATTAATATATATTATCAAATATTATTGTTAATATATTTGACTGATTTTATAAATCATTTAAATATCACTTATCTAAACACTTCTTCTTTATTTTTTTTAATTATCTTTCTTAAATCTTGAATATNTATCCTCATGAGATGTTACAACTAAAATTTACTTAATAAATAAATAGATTATCTAAAAATAAATCAGATTAAAATTTATATCTTTAACTTTTTATTTATTTCTTTTAATGAGAAACTAGGCTATACTATTATTCTTTAAAAGTCTTAGACTATCAATAAAATCTTATTCAATATAATTTTCCTTTAATAAAATTAATAATAAGTTTAAAATACTTTCATTTGAATGTGGAGATCGATTTATACTTTTCATACCATAAATATGATGATAGTGTATTTTGTGATTACATCTAAAATTATTTCGATATTAAATTTAATATATTAATTTTATTTTTCCAGTCAAAGCCACAATAAATAATTTAAAATTAAAACAAATAATAAGGATATTTGATAAAATCATTTTAAAAATCAAAAAATTTAAGTTAATGACTGGTGATCTAAATTAATATATTTCAATTTATATCTAATATTTAATAAGATCTAAGAGTTTAAATAAGATTTAATTAAGAGTAGTCCTTATTAATAATTTAAATAATTAATACTTTGCTAACAAAAGCTAAAGTTGATTGAATATAAAAATTTATTTGAAAATATGAAAAACGTTATTAATAAAAAATTATATTAAAAATAATGATAGTTTTATTATGATTAATAGATATATAATAAAAATTTTATATTCAATAAATAAATGGGAGTGTGTTGTTCAAGTGTAAATTATACATATACAACTTTTCAAGGATTTAATGATAATGTATATTCACAATTCTTGAAATCTTTTCAAGAATAACATGATTCAGGAGATTTTAGTTTGCTAGGTAATTTTAAAATATTCAATGAATTTCTTCGACTTTAGTAAAGAGCTAATCCAATTGAAATAGGAATAATTAAATGGGAGATTTGTTTTGCATTGATAACGAGAACAAAAATGATAGGTACTTAATAAGAATGGATAAATTTTATTTCAAATCAACAAGATTATTAAGAAGCCTTAGATCTATTTAAAGATCAAGAATTTCAAAAAAATAACTAAGAAGAAACCCATCCCAATTGGTAACTTTTGATATCTCAATTCAATTTGATAATGATGAATTTGGAATAAAGCAACTTATAATATAATCTGTTTGAGTAAACATATGCTTATTTGTAAGATTAAATTGTAGAGCTTTAAGTTTGAATATCATTATTAATTATAAATCAATAATTTAATATAACACAAAACTTCTTTATTATCTTCAAGTTTATAAATGATTGTTTCATTTATAAATGTAGTTTTTAACTTAAAATCTAATTTATTTTAGTTATTTTTGGTCATTAATATATATTATCAAATATTATTGTTAATATATTTGACTGATTTTATAAATCATTTAAATATCACTTATCTAAACACTTCTTCTTTATTTTTTTTAATTATCTTTCTTAAATCTTGAATATTTTCTAATTTAAACTTATTTTTTTCTAATCCTCTTAGTATAATTGGTTAATTACTTATTTTTCTATTAATTAATTTAAAATCATTTTCTTATCTACTTTCCAATAAAAATCTGTTAATTATTGTATTTTTCTATTTAATTCCTATTAATTCATCTCATAGGTTTTTTTATTATATAATTTTATCATCTATTTTTTAGTTGAATAGATGAGGCTTTAATTTATAGCATTTATTTTTTTTATCATCTATTTAATTACTATAATAGATAAATCCTCAAAAGAGTATTGCTGTACTATAAATTATACTTAATTATAATGTTCTAAAAAAGCTAATTGAATTTTGGAAATGATTTGATTTTACATTGCTTATGTCGTTTTTCTTTAATCAGAATCTGCTTAGCTTTAAATTTAGTATTTTCAATAAAATTATTATCTTATTTATTATGAATCGATTTTAGAAATGGGAAATTTATTTAGGGTAATGAAAAATAATAAATTAGAATTTATGAAAACAGAGATGACATTAATATATAAAGAAAAAAGAAATTTGAGGAGTTTTCTAAATTAAAAATGAATGCCAAAACAACAGAAGATGATAAAAATGAAATTATGAAAGATATTAACCGAACTTATTAAGAATTGGGTTTATTTCATTTAGAATAAAATAAAAACATCATGTGTAATGTTTTATTATTATGGTGTAATTATAATTTATCTTATCGTCAAGGTATATTAATAATAAAATAATAGGAATGAATGAGATTGTAGGAGTATTATTTTATACATATATTTAATCATATGATGATAGTCAAGATATAAATACAACATAAATTGAGAATGATATTTATTGGGTTTTTAATACTATTATGGATGAAGGAGATCATAAAGATAATTTTAATTATTCATCCAATTAACCTATAGATAGAATACCTTTAATAAAATATATTAAAGATTTAATAATGGATAAACTCAAATATATAGATGAGCAATTATTTTAAATATTTGAATAGAATCAAATTAATACAGAAATATTTTTGATGAAATGGATTAAAGTATGAATATATTTATGTTTATGTGTTTACTAGCAAGAGAATACGAAGTTGAATAAATTTTATTAATTTGGGATAAGATTTTTGAGAAGTTCTAGATTTAAAAATTAAAATTTTTAGATGCTCTGATTTTAACAATGATGATCTAATTAAAACCTTAATGTAAAATATAATTTTTAAATTATAAGTGCTTAAGATTGAACATATAAACAATTTTGAAGTTTTATTGTTATTTTAAAATTATCCAGCAAAGGATAATTACTAATAAATAATAGTATAAGCAGAAAAAATAGAAAGTAAGAAATAATTTTTATATCATTTTAGGATAATTAAGAGTATTGGAAGGAATATCATGGATAGAGATAATCAAAAGATTCAATTTGGGCTACACTTTATCATAGTATTTTCAGAATAATTTGAATTATTGATTAAAATTTATGGATTTCAAATTTTCTATATTGTTTTTTTATTATAATCTAAATATTTAAAAATATTATTTGAATATAAAATTTTGTAAGTTATGATTAGATTATTTTATTGATATAATAAGTTTTAGGATAAAAAAATTAGCGAGATTAAAATTAGTAGTTTGATGAATAGCAATTGAATTGTTTGTTTGATAGGTTTGTTCATTAAATATTTACTCACTTGTATATATTCTTATATAAATATCTAATTACATGATTATGAATAGATACAATTATAAGATGAATAAAGAAATGTATTTGGAAGAATAAAAAGTGTATCTAGAATAAATAAAACCTTTAGGATATATAACAATTCTTAAAATTATTTTTTATGAGAATGCATGATATCCAAGATAATAATACTTAAAATGTTATTAAATTTTAAATTACTTACAAATGTTGAAATTGTCTATATTTATAAATAAAAACTTAGATATTTTTAAATCTTACTACGATGATAATGATTAACTTAATTTATGTAAACACTTAAAAAATGTATAAACTGTGGATATTTTGTATGAGTAAATTCAAATAAGACTTATAATATTCTAGTAATTCTTAAGTTTTATATTACCTTAAGTGTAATTATAGCTTCCAAATGATTATAATCTTGCTAAATGCTGATAAATATTAAATTTTTTTTAAAAGATACAAACACTAATATAATAAATAGAATGTCCACTATTATATTTTGTAAATCTCAATCTCTTTATTTAATTACCTTTGATTTCCCTTAAAAATATTACAAAAACTTTAATATTAATGAAAATATTTTTTGTCTTTTCATATTCAAGAAGTCCAATCATATATTTTTATTGAAACTGTCTTATATTTCAAATATAAAGTAAGAGCATTAGNATTGGAAGGAATATCATGGATAGAGATAATCAAAAGATTCAATTTGGGCTACACTTTATCATAGTATTTTCAGAATAATTTGAATTATTGATTAAAATTTATGGATTTCAAATTTTCTATATTGTTTTTTTATTATAATCTAAATATTTAAAAATATTATTTGAATATAAAATTTTGTAAGTTATGATTAGATTATTTTATTGATATAATAAGTTTTAGGATAAAAAAATTAGCGAGATTAAAATTAGTAGTTTGATGAATAGCAATTGAATTGTTTGTTTGATAGGTTTGTTCATTAAATATTTACTCACTTGTATATATTCTTATATAAATATCTAATTACATGATTATGAATAGATACAATTATAAGATGAATAAAGAAATGTATTTGGAAGAATAAAAAGTGTATCTAGAATAAATAAAACCTTTAGGATATATAACAATTCTTAAAATTATTTTTTATGAGAATGCATGATATCCAAGATAATAATACTTAAAATGTTATTAAATTTTAAATTACTTACAAATGTTGAAATTGTCTATATTTATAAATAAAAACTTAGATATTTTTAAATCTTACTACGATGATAATGATTAACTTAATTTATGTAAACACTTAAAAAATGTATAAACTGTGGATATTTTGTATGAGTAAATTCAAATAAGACTTATAATATTCTAGTAATTCTTAAGTTTTATATTACCTTAAGTGTAATTATAGCTTCCAAATGATTATAATCTTGCTAAATGCTGATAAATATTAAATTTTTTTTAAAAGATACAAACACTAATATAATAAATAGAATGTCCACTATTATATTTTGTAAATCTCAATCTCTTTATTTAATTACCTTTGATTTCCCTTAAAAATATTACAAAAACTTTAATATTAATGAAAATATTTTTTGTCTTTTCATATTCAAGAAGTCCAATCATATATTTTTATTGAAACTGTCTTATATTTCAAATATAAAGTAAGAGCATTAGCTGATTAAACAAGTCTTCATTCACTGTCTAAATAATAAGTTAATTAAAATAATAATTTTGTATTTTGAAATTGATGACAGCCAACCACGTAAACAAATAATTTAATTTTATACTTAAATATCTCTACTTCCTTCAATCCCATTTTATTAAGTTTAGGAGAAAGTACAAAATAAGAAATAACAAAAGTTAATTTTAAATTGATATTTTAAAGATTTAGAAAGAAATATGATATATTTTATAGGTAACCAAAAACATATTTCATATTCGCACATTATTTCCTTGATCTCTATCTAAAGTGTTGCTAAAATAACAAATTTCGGATTACTACTATCATCAATCAGAAATGAAACCAAAAAACCATTTGAACATTTTTTTTGAAATCTTAGGTAAAGTATAAATCTTTTTAATTAATAGCTCAATATTCAAGTTTTAAAATTCATAAGTAAAAGGATTTACCCTAATAAAATACATCAAATATCAATAGAAATGGATGTTATCTTGATATTCTAAACAAAATTTAAATACAACCATCCTCATATACATATATTGATAATGTTTGAGTTTAAAAATAAATAAATTTAAAGAGTAATTTTTTTAGATAATAATTAATAATCCATTTAAAATGTATTATTATATAAAATAATAATCAGAATTTATAATTACCTATGTCATCTTCTTTAAAATATTAAGAGTAATCCTAAAGTGTAAGATATTTCAAATATGAACTTTATCATTAAATTCCTATACGAGAACCTTGGTGTGGAATTCTATAATTAAATCATCAATAAACATTATTATTTGCAGCAGGAGCGATGAGAATTTTAATATTTTAATTTAAAAATACTTTGAAACCATTATTTTAAATTAGAGAGGAAAGTTAAGCAATCAGTAATATTTTTACAAAATAAAATTCAAATTAAGTATTTGTTGGAAATTGTTAAGGAAATATTAAGATTTTTTAAACAATAGGAATAAATAATACAAAAATTTAGATTAAGATTAAAGCACATAAAAAAAGTATAACTAGTTTTGTTATGTCCAAAGATGCATCTCTATTAATTACTTGCAGTTTGGATGGTTAAATTAAATTTTGGACTTTTGAAGATTCATTTTCATATAAACAAACAATAAATAGTCATGAAGGAGGTGTTTGTAAAATTAGTTTAAATTAATCAGAAAATTAAATTATATCTTGTGGAAAATAAAAATTCATTTTCATAATAGAATAATCAAGTTTTAATAAACGTTGGTTTATATCTCAAAAAATAGAATTAGAATCATATGGATATGGAATATGCTTTATTTCAGAAAACTTATTTGCTTTTTAATCAACTTAAAATTAAGATATATTATTTATTTATTAAAGATAAAAAGGAACATAGCTTTACAATTAAATTAAAGATTTTCAACTTAATTATAATTCATAATACTGTTTATTTATACAACAATTCATTGCATAAAAATCCTTATTAATAAGCAAAAAGGGAAATTTTATTATTGTTAAGGAAGAAACTAATATTCAACTATTAGAAAATTCAGCCGTTGAATTTGATATAATTGATGTTTATGGATCAGTAAGTGATGATGGAGAATACTTAATTAGTTGTGACGATTAGTCAAAAGTAATTTCTATTAGAAAATATAAAATGATTTGATAAATAATTTTATTTTAATTTATTTTTTCAATTATCTGAAAAATGCAAGACTCTTTTTTCTTCATTATAGCAAATTTATAATTTAATTACTTTTATTAACAAACTTACAGAGGATATTGTAATAATAATTTAGATTCAAATCCCAATGATATATTATAGTATTTGGTTTAAAGATGATTTTATATAATTAGAATCATAGAAGACTAAAATATGATTTATCTACACTTTATTTTATTAACAATTCAAATCAACTAAGATGAAAGAAAGGACAATTCTAATTTTTTAATTATTTTATTATTTAATAAAATAATAATTATTAGTATATTTAATAATAATTTAGTTAACATATAACATAGTTATCCATTTAATTATGAATTCTAAAAAATATATATAAATAAAGTAACTTAATTTACTTTTGTAAGAATTACTTCAATATTTAGAAAAATTTTTAAATAAATATATGTTGATTATTAAAAAGTAATTAATTAATTAATTAATAAGAAATTAAACAACAATATAAATCAAAATGTATATTTCAATTAAGTTTTTCCAAAATCCCTTTATTTAAGTTGAATGTATAAATTTTTTGGGAAATTAAAAATTAATTTTATTTTAACTCCTTTATAAATATTAAGAATCTCCAAGGATTTAAAATTTTTTTCTCAATTTCTCATAATAATCAATATCCTATAAATATGAAAGATAAAAAACCAAATAATAATTTTTATCAAAATACGAAAAACATAAAGTCTAATAGTTTTAAATTTTTTTATTTTTCATTCAATAAAATACAAAATTGATAATTCAAATCTTTCATTTAAGATTATTAGCAACCATTTTTTATAATGAATTGTTATAGTAACTCTATATTACTTTCTTTTCTTCAATAAATTTATTTTTTAAGTAGAGATGATATGTTTTTTAGATTTGCTCAAAAATATCAACAACTAATGTAAATGCCATCAAAAAACTTAATAGACCTATGTGGAACCAACCATAAATCAAAAATTCATTATCATTTAATTCTACAGTATAAATCAAAAATGTTCCTGTTGTAATAAATAATATAACTTCTTTACAAATTAATTTAACTTAATCAAATTTTGATTTTATAGGTCTAAATAAAGTCAAATAAATCATATAATATAATGACTACATCGAAAGTAAAATTGATTATGCCTCTGGATAGTTTATAAATTTGACTATAATTGTAATAAATAGAACTACTCTATATATTTGAAAAGGTTTAAAATTAGCTGCCCAAAATTCAGTTTTCTAATCTTAAAAAAAGTATTTCCATTTTTATTTATTCTTAATTTTAGAGCTTGTGATAGAAAGCAATCTAAAAAATATATTAATTAGAAATAATAAACTTCCAAGAGCTACAACACTATTAAAAATTTCAAACAAAGAGTTAAAAGTATAATCAGGAAATTAAATAAGTGTACTGAATAATAATTAATGAAGAGAAGAGTAAAATAATTAAAAAAATCCAGAAGAAAAATAATCTTTTTTCAAAACAAAACACTTAAACTGGATTTTCCTTTAAAATTTAATAATTAAGCGAAGGACTTTCATATTATAGTAATACTTTCTAAAAAAAAGTTCTAACAATTTTGATACTTTATTTGTGCAAATTAGATAACAAACAAAATATGTTGAAAAAGATATTAAGTAAGCAATACAACAACCTTTTGCATTTACTAAATAAAACTAATTAAAAGCATTATTTTAATTGTATTAGTATGATTTTTTATTCAAATATGGAAAAGAACCTCCATTAATTTTTGCAATAAGTTCATCTACTTTTAAACTATCTAAAATAGGTTTTAAAGAAATTTTTGTATAAACTTCTAAAAACTAACTTAAATGAGGAGGAAATTTATATTGCATATACCTAATATATGATAAGGTCTATAATAAATCTAATAAATTAAAAAAAACAATTTAATTATCAGTGAGGAAAAGTAATCCAGAAATACCAACAGTAGAATAAATGATTATATCATTTATTTGTATAATTTAAGTTGTTTTTTTTTAGTTACTTGCTAATAAGACAAAAGGAGTACCAAGTCTTATTTCTTTATAATTATTACTTAATTCCATATCATCTTAATTAAAGATAGAGTGTTTCTAAATATTAACTTTTAAAATTGGATTTTCAATAGGAACCAAGAATTAAATTATAATTTAATATATTGGATTGCCTATTTGAGAAGTTAAATTATTTAAAGGAACTATAGAAATTTATTTTTAAGTTTCTGGTTCAATATTGAATTATACAATTTCATCAAAATTTATATCTGATGATATATAAACTTTTTAAGAGAAGAATAATTCAAGAGTTTAAGTTTAATTCTTCTTATCAGTAACTAATTTTAAATTGAAATATGGTTATTGAATAAAAGTGCAAATACTTTACTAATTTTCTATATTAATACAGTCATATGAATCTTCTTATAAACAAAGAGCAGAGCATCCATCTCCACCATTATTATTCCCATCATCACATTACTCAAAATTATTATCAAGTAATCCATTTCCACATAAATTGAAACATTAATTTTAAATTAAAACATAATTTGGATTACATAATATTGTTTGTAAATAATTGTTATTTATTTCTTCTTTTATTTCTGGTATCATAATTTATTATTAAAGTTTTTTACACTAAAACGTTTGAGTATCTAAAATATAATCTTACTTTTCACATAATAGACAACGGTTCTCTTTTTAACATTAAATACAACCAAAAGAGCATTCATATTAACATTAAAAACATCCATCATATCGAAGATCATTACCATCATCACACTATTCAAATTCTGGAGTAATTATGTTATCTCCACAAATAGGTAAACATTTTCCATCATTTATTTTAAAAGGGTTTTAACAAATCTCACAATTTTAAAATTTATCACAAACCAAACAGTTATTCTCACATTAATATTTACAATTAGCACAATATTAATCTTCAAGATCATCACATTATTCATTAGATAAATTCGCTACTTTTCCATCTCCACAAATTTGCATACATTAATATTCTTCAAGATGCCAACCATCTTAACAATTAAAGCATTTATTATCAAAACATAATAAACATTCTATTTGACAACTTTTTTAGCATTTGTAACACCCATCAAATTAAATTCTATTATCATCATCACATACTTCTTCTGATAATATAATTCCATCTTAGCATTTAGGAATACATTGAGTTTTATGAAAATCTAATTAATATTCAGATTAGCATTCCATACATTATCCGTATTTAGTAATTTTACAATTAATTATCTACTCTGCCTCATTATATTAGCATTAATTGCCTATCTCTCCAAAACCAAAATGGCTTAAATCAAAAATGTTATTTAATTAATTTAAATATTAGAGAGTAATATACTACTAAACTTACTAAAATTTATGTTCTTTTAGATTAAAGCATTCAAACATTTCCATCTAATTTGAATATTTATATTCTTTTTATAATTTCTCACATCTACCTTCAATAATTAAATATTAATCTTCACATTCAATACATTTATCAAATAAGCATATTTTACAATTCTTAGAACAAGAATATTTACAATTATGACAACCATCATAAGCAATTATATTACCATCGTCACATTACTCATTATACGTGATAATAGAATCACCACAATATGGATAACAAGTTTTTGTTATTATTTCATATTTCCATCCATCTAAACAATCCCAACATATTCCTTTTATACAGTTTTTACAACCTATAATACAATCATAATAATTCGAAAAGCATCCATCAAAAGGAACAATATTATTATCAATGCAAAAATCATCCAATCGTTTGACAAATAATTTAAAATCTCTTATTCCAATTATTGTCGGTAAAGTTACGTCCTAATCAATTTATATTGATATTCTCAACTTTTAGCTATTATGTTAATATGATTAAGATAAATTTATCTCCTAAATTGAATTTTAATTACAAATCGAACCTTAAAACTTTACCTATGTCTAAACATAATTTGTTGTAGATAATAAATTATTGTCTATTATTATTTTAATTCCTAAAGATTATGAATGAAATATATATAGTTTTAATTAAAAGCTTATCGCATAATGTAAATCTAAATCAAATTCTTTAAATATATTATTATTAGGATATCTAATGTAATTTAACCCTAAAATCATAAAATTAAATTTACCAAAACATTCTTAAATAAGCCATCCATCCCCTTGGTTTACAATATTGAATATTTATTAATGAAATAATTGTACCAATAAATTCTAATTAAGGCATCCTAGTGAATTGCAGGAATCACATCCGATTGCACATTCTTATATGTATAATTCAACTTCTGTAATTCCCCAAACTCCTTTTTCTGCAATTAAAGCAATAGTTAAACTTGAGCTTGTATGAAAAAGAGTAATAGAAATAGGAAAAAAATTAAAAAATAAAGAAATTTAACATGTTTTCGTTGCATCATCTTCTGTATAATATTTTTATTCATGTACAATCTAATTATCAATATAAACAATGAAAACAGTATCATTTATTGTTTTGCGTCTAAATATTTATATAAAATTACTTTAAAAATTTGAAATTCAATGTCAGCTAATAGTGAGGTTATAGTTCAAAAGAATTATAAATTAGATTATGATAATTTATATTGTTACACTCCTCAACTCTTAAGATTTTAAAATTTCCACATGAATTATGAGTTAATCCACTTGAGCACCCATTAAAATACGATTTCCAAATTGTGCTATCATAATTATTGAAATATTCTTTGTAAACTATTGTTTTTGATAATGCCTATTTCAATATCATGCAAAACATCAAAAGTACATATATTCTATTATTTTTATTAGATTAACAATTAAAATGATGAGGATTTTCAACTATTAACTATTATTTCTGTTTTGATTTTTTTATTAAGAAGATATTTTTGAACTTTTATTGCTATAAAGGCTTCTGCAACATATTAAAAATTTAAAAGATTTAATTAATTAGA